GAGTCTCCCACGTGGGTGACAGAGACTCAAGTACTTGGGCCATCATTCATTGCTTCCTAGAAGTATTAGCACGGAGCTGGATCAGAAGCAGAGTAGCTGAGACTGGAATTGGCACTCCAATATGGGAAGCAGGCATCATAAGTGACTTAATCCATTGTGCCATGACGCCGTGCCCACTGAGAGCTTTTTGACCCTGTCTTATTGGTGTCTTCATCTCTAATACATAATCCATAGTAGGTGTTCAGTAAATATTTGTTGAATTCAAACTAATGAAATTAAACTAGGCTAACCACAGTAGTATCTTGACAAGGCTTGGGGATTTTTTTTTTCATGAACATGAGAATGAGTTTCTCTGAGTATATTTTATAGATATAGCAGGAAATAATATTTGCATAGTTTTATTTTTCTATTATTTTTGTATTTATTTACCTCCACTAGACTGAGAACTGTTTTTATAAAGATTTATTTTTTCATTTTATTGATTCCACAAATGTAAACTCTAGCTCAGTTCTTTTCTGAAACATCACAGATTGCAAATTAGGGAAATCCAAATTAGTTAGGCCTTACCATACTGTGACTTGCCTGGTTTCATTTTGCTTTGTATTCATATACATCTGGCTTTGGACAAAGGCAGAGACTAGAAAATGTGGATGCAGCTGACACATAGTGGTTTTTGTGGACCAAGTGAATTTTCTTTTTTAGGTTTTTCATGTTGTTTATGATTTACAATCAGAATTTTTAAATTATAAAGCCACTTTCTCTGCCTTATCGCCCTTTGTGCTTGTCTTGATCCATTCAGAGTCCTATAACAAAATATGATAAAGTCGGTAGCTTATAAGCAACAAAAACGGATTGCTCACAGTTGTGGAGGCGAAGAAGTCCAAGACCGAGGTGATAACACCTCCTGTGTCTACGAAGACCCACTCCTTATACACACTGACTTCCCTGTCTTTACATGGTGCAACGTGGCAAACAGACGCCCCTCCCTGGGCATGGACCCTATTTATGAGGGCTCCATCCTCATGATCTAATAACTTCCTCAAAGCCTCACCGGCTAGCGCCACCACCCTGTGGTTGAGGATTGCAACATATGAATTTGGGGGTGGGGAACACAAGCATTCAGCCCATAGCAGTGCTGCTACTGAGGTTTAAATCATGGGAATCCCAGATTACTTGCTTTTTGCTTACCTTAAGTACTAGGATTTGGTTTAGGGTCCAAAGTGAGAAATGGCACACCTTTCCTTGGCTGGCATATATGGAAAGGGGAATGGTAGGGAAGGGGGACCCTGCTTGTGTTTTCTTCATTCCAAGGTGAAAATCATGGTTAACCAAGTGGTTTCCTTATGATATTCCCACTCTAGAAGCGTGCTTACAAGAGCTATGTCCGAGCCCTCCCTCTGCTGAAGAAAATGGGGATCAACTCCATTCTGCTCCGAAAAAGCATTGGTGCCCTCGAGGTGGCCTGTGGCATCGTCATGACCCTTGTGCCTGGCCGTCCCAAAGATGTGGCCAACTTCTTCCTGCTCTTGCTCGTGTTGGCTGTGCTCTTCTTTCACCAGCTGGTCGGCGATCCCCTCAAACGCTACGCCCACGCTCTGGTGTTCGGAATCCTGCTCACCTGCCGCCTGCTGATTGCCCGCAAGCCGGAAGAGCGGTCTTCTGAGAAGAAGCCTCTGCCCGGGAATGCAGAGGAGCAACCTTCCTTATATGAGAAGGCCCCTCAGGGCAAAGTGAAGGTGTCATAGGAAAGCGGAAGTGCAAAATGTGGACCTTGCAGGCAGTTGCCTCTTGTGACACCCAGGAAGATGTCAGTGTGTGTTTTTCATTTGATTGATTTATCCTGGGGCAAAGGGAAAAAATATAATCTGCAAGTTAATGTCCCTATTGGCTTGTGTACATCTGTCCCCTAAAACGATCTCCCCACATTGACATTTGTGCGCCACCTTTAATCACTCTGGGGCAACTCCCATCTTGCTGCATGTACATGTATACGGCTACTATTGAAGTGTCTTTGTGAGATGGACTCCAGCACGCATGTGACTGAGATTATGTGTGGGGAAAATGTGCTTCATTAGTGTGTGTGTGCGCGCGCGCATGTGTGCGCACTCACGGGTGGAGAGGGCTCTTATCTTGAACTAATCCTGCACAGCTATCTTTCCCTGTATACCTTGATTTCAGCAAAGGCAGCATAAAATAAACCCCCTATGAAGAGAATCCCACTTCCTTCGGTATAAAACAAGTGACCCGTTCCCACAGCTGGGGGCAATCCCTGCCTAAATTGAGCTGAACACTTCACTTCATCACTTTAGGCAAAGAGTTCCTTCCATGTGAAACACTAAGTTAATATGTAAAATTAATTAGCCTCTACTTCCACCGTTGTTTAAATTTTAAATAGTCCATATTGAGTTTCCTTACAACAAGGAGGACCTGCAGTTGAAACAGTCTAATTCTTCTACGAAGAACTAGGGGATGTTTCACGAAGAACTAGGGGATGTTTCACCCGGCCCTGTCCCAGCCCAACCGACTCCGCCCCTTACTAACAATTTGAAATTAAGCTTGTTAGCAGACAGCCTTTTATGAGCTTCTTAAGCCCAAAGCTGCCTCACTCCCACTATTCCCAGCAGCTAACGAGGACTCGGCAGCTGCTCCGCTGGCGTGGCTGACGCGGGCAGGGATTGGTCCCGTTAGAAATCTGTGAATCTCCAACTCTAGCTGTTCTGTGAAATCATTCGAAATTCGGTGGAGGAACTGTATCCAGTGTTTCTCTGCCTAACAGACTCACTACCTGTATTGCTGGTGGAAGCAGAGTCTAACACCCCAGGTTTGTCTCCTCTACACCTCTAATCATTCGGGTGGGTGGAGTTCAGCTGGGGGAAGGACGTTTGATCCGGGTTAGTTGGATTGAGCAGTATGGACATTTGCTTTCTTCACTACATACTGCTGTTTCTCCTTGTTAGATGTGCTTTGATGGTTTTAACATTATTGTGTCATGGGGATGGGGAAAGGGTGGGGGGGTTGTGTGTGGGGAGAGTACTTATTGTATTTTCTTCAGTGTCATTGTTCTTGGTAATTGATACCTCTGTGTCTTATTTCATTCATTCTTTCAAAATAAAAATTTTTGAAATTTGGAGGAACTTGTCTGGAAATAGCAAAATCTGGAAAGAAAGGTTCACATCAAGGGCTTCGGATGAGGGAGAAGTAAAAGAAGGGGGAAGATAGTCCTTTAATAAATGCACTGCTGAGGTTGCCAACTTTCTAATCGCAATTAAGTTCTCCCGCACTTTTGTGATTTTTGCACATAAGGCAAAATGTCGTAGAATTAGGATCACAGTACAATTTCTAGGTTTGGGAAATTCTACTAGATTAGGTGATGCCAAAGGAAAGTAGAAAACATTATTTCGGAAAAAATTGAAGGTATGTGAAATAAAGGTGAATCCCGGTCTCTCACTTAAATTTGTGGTGCAAATTGCAGTGTCACAGACTTGTCATGTCGGGCAAGTTATTTCACCACTCAACACTCCGGCCTCATCGTACAAAAATCAGGTTGCTGGCCGGCGCCGCGGCTCACTAGGCTAATCCTCCGCCTAGCGGCGCCGGCACTCCGGGTTCTAGTCCCGGTCAGGGCGCCGGATTCTGTCCCGGTTGCCCCTCTTCCAGGCCAGCTCTCTGCTATGGCCAGGGAGTGCAGTGGAGGATGGCCCAAGTGCTTGGGCCCTGCACCCCATGGGAGACCAGGAAAAGCACCTGGCTCCTGGCTCCTGCCATCGGATCAGCGCGGTGCGCCGGCCGCAGCGCGCCGGCCGCGGCGGCCATTGGAGGGTGAACCAACGGCAAAGGAAGACCTTTCTCTCTGTCTCTTTCTCTCACTGTCCACTCTGCCTGTCAAAAAATAAAAAAAAAAATTAAAAAAAAAAATCAGGTTGCTGAGGTCTTAAAATCTGTTCCGACTCATATTTCTTTGAGTCTACGAAATGATTAAAAGCATAAAGAATGACTTGAGAAATTTTTAGTTTTACTAGAGAAGTTAGCATAGAAAAAAATAGAACAGTCTCAATTTTATGCATGATTAAATAAGAGCTGGAGAAACTACTATGAAAAACATAAATGTGGTAAGTAGTCATTTCTGTTGTATTGTTTCCCAAACACATCAATTTAATTCATCTGTTGCTAAGATGGTAGTTTCTTCCTACAGTTTTGCCTAAAGTTTATAATCTTGTTTTAGCCTCAACGAGTCAATGAGAAACGTTAAATTTCTTTTCCTCTTATTAGTAAGAGGGTTAAACTAGGGACTAAGCTCAGATCTCAGACAAAGCCCCTGTTGCTGTTTTTAGCCAGTTTTTTTTTTTTTTAAGGTCATTGAAACCTCAAAGTTAGGAATATTTCTCGTTGACAGCCGACTACTTGCAACATGGCACAACATCTGGCAGGGGACACACGTTTCAAGGAACCTTGGAGATTTTCCGCACCCATTCTCGGTTAAACAAAAGCAGATCCAATTCTTTCCTACCAACTCTAGAGCTTCACAGAAGGCAAACGACTTTAACTTAAATCTCTGCATGGAGACATTTTCCTACAAAGTCCCGACACTTGGGGTCAATCTGGGCAAAACGATCACTCTAATTGATCATGTTAAATTCAAGAATCTTGATACTAGCCCTGTTCTACGCAAAATGACGAATGCCAACATTATTAGAACAGGGAGAACGACAGCCAATCAGCTGACTCCAGCAGCAACGGCCCACTCGTCGCGCGTCCCAGTCTGGTTAGGCGGAGCAAACTATTCTCTAATTGGGTCTGCGTCAGCGTCGGCGCGCGCGCGCCACCTCCCGCCATAGAGCTGTACTCGAACCAATCAGGCTTCAGCAGAGGGCGCCGCTCCGCCCAGTCGCCACCTGGGTCGTTGCGGAGGCGCATGCGCAGGGCGGAGCCTGCGCCTTTGAATGTGGGCGGCGGTGTTCGGGCTCCGGAGGCTGTGGGGCGGCGGAACGTATTAGGTGAAGTAATTTTAAAAAGAACCGCGCCAAATGGGGCGCCTGGGCACGAAGCGGGTCGCCTGACTTCTGAAGGCGAGACTATCCTGTACAGTGTGGCTGCGGCTGGGTTTTCTCCTAGCCCGGGAATCGGCTCAGTGGGTCAGTCGTTGGCAGTTTTGCTCTGCCGGGTGCCGAAGGGGTCGTTGGAAAGCGCTGGGCGGCGGGTTCAGTGGATGAGGTCAGAAGCTGCTCCTTCGCCCTTGTTTCCTGGACTCTAGGAAACAACTCAGAACCCGGGGCCTCCCTTGGGGGTGAGCATACATACTACTCTCCTGCTCTGGCCTTGTCGCTTCTGGGGAGGTGGGATTGAGTTGTTCTGACCATTCCCTTAGTTTTCCCCCCGTGAGGCCCAGAACTAACAAGTCATTTCTTAGTTCTTCTCTTTTCTTTCCCCCACATCCAGTTCTTTCATTGTGTTTAGTACGCTCTCCCTCCAAAACAAAGGAATCCAATAATTTTCACCTCTACCGCGCTACACACCTTAGACCCCGGGGAGACCACAGCCATCCCTCTTCCGGACTTACAAGAGCCTTTTAAGCGCGCTCTTGCCACTCCTTGACCCCTATTTCTAGTGTCCACAGTGCAGCTAACCCCTCAATTCTAGTCACCGCAGTGCAACTAACCATGGTCTTCCAACACAGCTCAGATGGTGGTGCTCCGCTCCCTGACCACTCCCCCACCCTGCTGTCGCTGCTGTTTCGTTGACACACAGAACTTTTTCTTGCTTGGGAGTCTTGGCATGTCTTTCCCTTCCCACCGTGTAATCCTCTTGCACTAGATCTTCACGTGGCTGGTTCCTTCATGACGTTCAAATCTCAGCTGAAAGATCAGGTCATAGAGGCTTTGCACCCCCACCCCATCTCTGTCACATCACTTTGTATTCATTATTATTTACTTATTTATTGACTGTCAGCATCTCCTTCCCCCACTAACTTTCATGACAGCAGGGACCTTGACTGATTTATTATTTTATCCCAGGTAACTGGAATTGTGCTTGGCACATAGATGACATTCAGTAATTATTTACTGAATATATGAATTAATAAATGGGGAATGTTTCTGTTATACTTAGTCTGACCAACAGTTTGGCTTCTCAACGATGCTGTTTGAACTTAGAACTAAGTGGGGAGCCTAAAGACTAAAAGCAAATTCAGTGTGATGGAGAGATTTAATGGGAGTGGAAAAAATTGAGTTTGTGAGATGGGTTTGTTTTGGACTTGCTTATGTGATATAGCTGTTTTTTTATTTATTTATTTTGACAGGCAGAGTTAGACAGTGAGAGAGACAGAGAGAAAGGTCTTCCTTCCGCTGGTTTACCCCCCAAATGGCTGCAACGGCCCACGCGCTGCGGGGGATCCGGAGCCAGGTGCTTCCTCCTGGTCTCCAATGCGGGTGCAGGGCCCAAGCACTTGGGCCATCCTCCACTGCCTTCCCAGGCCACAGCAGAGAGCTGGCCTGGAAGAGGGGCAACTGGGACAGAACCGGCGCCCTAAGCAGGATTAGAACCCAGGGTGCCGGCGCCGGCGCCGCAGGCGAAGGATTAGCCTAGTGAGCCGCAGCGCCGGCTGATATAGCTGTTTTAAGAGAGAACTTTCTATGTTACCTGTACTCTTACTACTTCTTTCCCACAAGAAGACCAGTTCAGCTGATGAATTTTACTTGGGTGGATTGTTTCTATTTAGGTAAAGGGCTTTCTGAGAAAGTTAACCTATAGGTTTTGTTTTCTGGATTATTGTCAACTTCTTTGTCGTGTGCCTGTTATACTCTAGGTACTGTCTACTAAATGTGAGACTACGGGCTGATGTGGTCCTTGTCTTTGTAGGGAAAAAGGTACTGTTTGGCTGATGAATGGTAACTTGACACTTGTTTCTGAATAGAATGCATGCAGTAATGATGCCTCAAAAGACAGGTAAGAATCAGGCACAAAACAGACCGTCACAAGGTAGCAGTAGTTACCAGACCAATCTCTCAGCCTGCGAAGTAAAACAGAAACCAAGTGACTCGAAAGAAAACAACCCAATGCAAGATGATGAACATGCTGATGATCAAGATGGAGACGTGCTGCAGATAGCAATGGAGTACTTTGAGAAAGGTAAAGGCACATTGTTTCATTCACTTATTTATTGATTTATTTATTTTAAATATTTATTTATTTGAAAGAGAGTTAGAGAGGTCTTCATCCACTGGTTTACTCCCCAAATGGCCGCAATGACCAGAGCTGAGCCAATCTGAAGCCAGGAGCCAGGAGCTTCCTCTGGGTCTTCCCACGCAGGTGCAGGGGCCCAAGGACTTGGGCCATCTTCTGCTGCTTTCCCAGGCCACAGCAGAGAGCCGGATCCTAAGTGGAGCAGCCAGGTCTCAAATCTGCGCTCATATGGGATGCCGGCACTGCAAAGTAAAACAGAAACCCGGAGACCTGGAGAAGGCTCCTGTCTTCGGATCGGCACAGCTCCGGCCGTTGTGGCCAACTGGGGAGTGAACCAGCGGATGGAAGACCCTCTCTCTCTGCTTCTCTTTCTCTGCGTAACTGACTTTCAAGTCAATAAATAAATCTTTAAAAAAATAAACTTCATAGGCAATTCCAATATAATATACAGCAAGAGTTTGGGAAGCTAGCATCGAAACAAATGATAGTCTTAAGTTCAATTCTTTTAATTGCTTAAAGCAGAGATACTAAAGCATGACTGTTTTCTTCACTGAAGATAACTATCGCTGTTAAATCTTCTAGAGTTTTGGGGCAGCTGTTGTGATTCTGTGGGTAAGCCACCCCTTAGTATGCCCACATCCCATATCAGAGTGCCTGGTTCGAATCCCAGCTGATCCTGTTCTGATCCAGTTTCTTGCTAGTGCGTCCTAGGAGGCAGCGGCTGATGGATTAACTGCTTGAGCCCCTGCTACCCACATGAAAGATCCGGATGGAGTTCCAGGCTCTTGGCTTCAGCCTGGCTCAGCCTTGGCTGTTGCAGGCATTTAGGGAGTAAACCAGTGGGTAGAAGATCTATTTCTCTGTTGCTGAGCCTTTTAAGTAGATGGAAATAAGCCTTTTAAAAACTACAGAATTTTAAAAGAATTTGAAGGGTTTTTAGGAAGTTTTTTTTTTTATATAAAGTCATTCCTTTAAAGACCCCCAAGTTGTAATTGTTGAGGCTGAGGATTGAAAGAATTTTAAAGGTCTTGCTATTTAATATTGTTCCTTTTTTCCAGATCCCATTAGAAGTTTACGGAGTAAAGATAAAATCTTGGAAAAGCACTTGATAACCATGGAGAATGTGGCTTGGAAGAATGGATTAGCTCCAGAAACAATTGACATTCTGTTAAATGTGGCACTCAGTGGCAGATTTGGTATGTCGAGGGGGTACATTTATTAGCAGTTTGCGATTCGTTTTGCCTTTCAGACTTACTCATTGCAGTCAGTTGCAGTTCTTTATTTTTACTGTTCTCTTCATAAGATAAATTTGATTTGGTAAGGTTATAAAATGTGCTTTAGTGTGTCTAGATTACCTTATGAGCCAAAATTTTGTGTGCACATATGCTGAAAATAACCAGTTATCATGTATCTTTACAAATAAAATGCATAAACTCTTGCCTCCAAATACACAACAACCATTTTTTTTTTTTTTGACAGGCAGAGTGGACAGTGAGAGAGAGGGACAGAGAGAAAGGTCTTCCTTTGCCATTGGTTCACCCTCCAATGGCCGCTGCGGCCGGCGCGCTGCGGCCGGCGCACCGCGCTGATCCGATGGCAGGAGCCAGGAGCCAGGTGCTTTTCCTGGTCTCCCATGGGGTGCAGGGCCCAAGCACCTGGGCCATCCTCCACTGCACTCCCTGACCACAGCAGAGGGCTGGCCTGGAAGAGGGGCAACCGGGACAGAATCCGGCGCCCCGACCGGGACTAGAACCTGGTGTGCCAGCGCCGCTAGGCGGAGGATTAGCCTAGTGAGCCGCGGCGCCGGCCTCACAACAACCATTTTTAACACTTTTCTGCAGAAGCATAGAAAATACTTTGAATAGTGTTACTGGAAGACACCTTAAGAGATTGTTAGTCTACTTCATTGCCTTTAGGTTTATTTATGACAAGTTTATGTTTATGCTGTCTCCGTCACAGTGTCTGTGACCTTAACAGCCAAGATACTTTTTGTGCAAATGTCTATTTCATTTTCTAAGTTCATTGGTGGTATGGATGGAGATTGGGAGAAATTCTTAGAAATAATATCTGGTCAGTATCCTTTCTACTTGAAATCTTCTCATATCTAAATTCATACTGCGAAGAAATTTTAAACCCTAAAACCCACATTAGAAAGGTGAGGAAAAATGGTTTAGAATGATTAAGAGACTTAATACCAGACCCATAGCTGAGGAAATCAGGTCTTCATTCCAGTGTTTATGCTGCACCACATTGCTACTGTTTTTTTCTACTTAAAATTAAGACTGCTATCAAAATTAGATGCTCTATGTACTAAGTATTTCCTGGCCCTTGGATGTTATATTCCTTCCTATATACCAAGCATCATATTTTTAGGGATGTGTGTGTGTGTGTTTTAAAGTAACAACAAATTATAAATCGAATCCACTGTGTGACTCTGTTATTTAATTTCTCCACTCTTTCCTTATTGATTCTCTTTTTTTCTCCCAGAAAGTTGAATCAGTTTTTGTACTTGGAGGTGCTTTCAGATTGTTTGATTTATTTGTTTGTTTGTTTTGTTGTTGTTGTTGTTGACAGGCAGAGTTAGGCAGTGAGAGAGACAGAGAGGGAGTTATAGAAAGTGAGAGAGAGACAGAGAAAGGTCTTCCTTCCATTGGCTCACTCCCCTAATGGCCGCCACGGCTGGCGCTGCACTGATCCAAAGCCAGGAGACCTCCTGGTTTCCCATGCTGATGCAGGGACGCAAGCACTTGGGCCATCCTCCACTGCCCTCCCGGGCCACAGCAGAGAGCTGGAATGGAAGAGGAGCAACCGGGACAGAACCGGCACCCCAACCAGGACTAGAACCCAGGGTGCCGGTGCCGCAGGCAGAGGATTAGCCAAGTGAACCATGGTGCTGGCCAGATTGTTCGATTTAAATGTCATCCCAGGAATCTATTTAACTGATCAATGTCTACAAGATAATTCTACCCTTTCCTTCTCTTAAAACATCTATAGAACACACAGGTTTTGTTTTGTTTTGTTTTGTTTTGTTTTTTAAAGGCGTATTTATTTATTTGAAAGGCAGTTGTAGAGAGGCAGAGGCAGAGAGAGAAGTTTTCCATCCACTGGTTCACTCCCCAAATGGCGACAATGGCCAGAGCTGTGCCAATCCAAATCCAGGAGCCAGGAGATTCTTCCAGGTTTCCCACATGGATGCAGGGGCCCAAGGACTTGGGCCATCTTCCATTGCTTTCCCAGGCCATAGCAGAGAGCTGGATCGGAAGTGGAGCAGCCGGGTCTCAAACTGGTGACCATATGGGATGCCGGCACTGCATGTGGCAGCTTTACCTACTACGCCATAGCATAGGCCCCGCTTGGTATCTCTTAAGTTCAGACCTTTTGTGGGTTCATTTTCTCCTGAAAAAAAAAAAAATCTCCAGTCTTTGGGTAAAGGAAGGTGGGAGTTCTTGGTGGGCTGAGGATATTTACTAATTTTGTGCCCACACTTTTAACCAAGCCTTGATTTTTGCTATGCGCCTTATCCTATCCCTGTCTTTGACAGTTTCCTGCACTTTATTTTGTAAAATTTATTTTTTTATTTGAATGAATTATGGAGAGAAAAGGAGAGACAGAGAGAGAGCGATCTTCTGTCCTCTATTTCACTCCCCAAATGGCTGTGATAACTGGGGCTGAGCAAGGCCAAAACCAGGAGCCAGGAGCTTCATCTGGGTCTCCCTTGTGGGTTCAGAGGCCCAAGGACTTGGGCCATCTTCTACTGCTTTCTCAGGTGCATTAGCAGGGAGCTGGATTAGAAGTGGAGCAGCTGGGACTCGAACTGGTGCCCATATGTGATGCCGGCACTGTGATGTGGCCTCACACACTATGCCATGGTGCTGGCCCAGTTTCTTGCACTTTCAAGTGTGAGTCTTTCCAGAGTTGTGTGGGGACGGATAAACCTTATTGCTCATCAGGTCCCTCCATGTGGATACAGCTTCCTGTACCTTCTAAGCCACTTGTCACTCAAATCTTTTTTTTTTTTAAATTTTACTTGAGGGGCTGGTGTTGTGGCGTAGTGGGTAAAGCTGCTGCCTATAGTGCCGGCATCCCATATGGACACTGGTTTGAATCCTGGCTGCTTCCCTTCTGATCCAGCTCTCTACTATGGCCTGGGAAAGCAATAGAGGATGGGCCAAGTTCTTGGGCCCCTGCACCTGTCTAGGAGACCCAGAAGAGGCTCCTGATCCTGGCTTCAGATCGGCACAGCTCTGGCCATTGCGGTCATCTGGGGAGTAAACCAACGGATGGAAGACCTCTCTCTGCCTCTGCCTGTCTGTTACTCTGCCTTTGAAATAAATAAATATTTTAAAAAAGGGTTTTTTGAAAAGTTACAGAGAGAGAAAAGGAGAGACAGAGAGAGAGAGAGATCTTCCATCCATTGCTTTACTCCCCAGATGGCTGTAACTTCTGGCTCTGGGTGAGCCAGGAAAAACCAGGAGTCAGGAGCTTCGTCTGAGTCTCTCATCTGGGTTCAGGGGCCCATAGACCTGGGCCATCCTCTGCTGCTTTCCCAGGCCATTAGTGGATGGATGACCTCTTTCTCTCTCTTTCTGCCTCTGCTTCTCTGTAACTCTTTCAAATAAATAAATCTTCAAAAAATAAGAAATTATTTAAAAAGTCACCAGGAAGTTACTATAGAGTTAGTATTGAATAGTCCCTTTGTATTTGGCACATATGTAAAGTGTTGGTGGTGAGACTTTTTTTTCCCAAAGATTTATTTTTTATTTACTTGCAAGGCAGAGTTACAGAGAGAGGAGGAGAAAGAGAGGCCTTCAGTCCACTGGTTCACTGCCCAAATGGCTGCCATGGTCGGGGCTGGGCCAGGCTGAAACCAGGAGTTAGGAGCTTCTTCCAGGTCTTCCACATGGGTGTAGGGCCCAAGCACTTGGGCCATCTTTCCCTGTTTTCCTAGGCACACCAGCAGGGAGCTGGATTGGAAATGGAGCAGCCAGGCCTTGAATTGCTGCCCATATGTGATGCTGGCTTCTCAGGCAGAGGCTTAACCTTTACACCACAACGCTGACCCCAGTGAGACTGTTTTAAACTCTGAAAGGGTTTAGTGTATAGGAGTGGGAGAGAAAAAAGAAACAAAAAGCCTAGATTAGAAAGTAGAGACTTTATTGTGATTCGTTACCTGCCATTACTGCTTGCTTGCTTCTGTACAGATTAATGGGGTAGAGGCTGATGCAGTAATGATTCCTGAAGCTTTCATGCACAGAAGTTGGTATAGGGTAAATAGAAAGCCAGTATCCGAAACATTACTTTAATTACCAGAAGGGAGAATGCTGTGGAGGCCAGAGAACAAAATGGAAAGATTAGACTAGTGTAGAATGTTGTTAATGTCAGCTAATTCCAAGGATATCTTCCATGCTGCCATCCTGTCCTTTTTGAGAGAGTTGAGGATACAAATATATTTATTATTAAATGTAGCTGCTCATGCACAGTGTCTATTAGTATCTTTAAATCAGAATCTATTGTGCTATTAAGAAAGTAATACAAAAACTCTTTGAAGTTTCACTGTGATTGAAAGACTTTGAGATATAATTCACATACCATAAAATTCGTTTTTGGCCGGCGCCATGGCTCACTTGGCTAATCCTCCGCCTGTGGTGCCGGCACCCTGGTTTCTAGTCCCAGTTGGGGCGCTGGGTGCTAGTTTCGGTTGCTCCTCTTCCAGTCCAGCTCTCTGGCCCAGGAAGGCAGGGGAGGATGGCCCAAGTGCTTGGGCCCTGCACCCGCATGGGAGACCAGGAGGAAGCATCTGGCTCCTGGCTTTGGATCGGTGCAACACCGGCCATAGTGGCCATTAGGGAAGTGAACCAACGGAAGGAAGACCTTTCTCTCTGTCTCTCTTTCTGTAACTCTCTCTTTGTATCTCTCTCTCACTGTCTAACTCTGCCTGTCAAAAAGTTTAAAAAAATTGTTTTTTTAAAAATGCAGTGTTTTGGGGCATAGTCACAGAGTTGTACCATAATCACCACTATCTATTTCCTGAGCATTTTCATCACCTGAAAAAGAAACCCTATATTCATTTCCCCTTTGAAAAATAGAAATATTTGGATCAAATAATTTTCTCTAGAGTTTATATTAGAAGTTAAATATATAATTTTGTCTTGAGCAATGCTTTGTAATGATAGGAGATACTGAATATTATGGTGTTGGTTTTTATTGCCTTAAACATAAAGTGAGAAGGGCTAGTGCTGTGGTGTAGCAAGTAAAGCTGCTGCCTGCAGTCCCAATATCCCAGTATCCCATATGGGCACCAATTCGAGTCCAATCCACACTTCCAATCCAGCTCTCTTCGTTGGCCTGGAAAAACAGTGGAAGATGACCTGAGTCCTTGGGCCCCTGCACCTGCAGGGCAGTCCCAGAAGAAGCTGCAGGCTCCTGATTTTGGATCAGCCCAGCTCTTGCTATTGTGGCCATTTGGGGAGTGAGCCAGAGGATGGAAGACCTCTTTCTCTCTCTCTCTGCCTCTGCTTCTCTATAACTCTGCATTTCAAATAAATAAATAAATCTTTTTTTTTTTTTTGACAGGCAGAGTAGACAGTGAGAGAGACAGAGAGAAAGGTCTTCCTTTGCCGTTGGTTCACCCTCCAATGGCCGCCGCGGCCGGCGCACCACGCTGATCCGATGGCAGGAGCCAGGTGCTTCTCCTGGTCTCCCATGGGGTGCAGGGCCCAAGGACTTGGGCCATCCTCCACTGCACTCCCTGGCCACAGCAGAGAGCTGGCCTGGAAGAGGGGCAACCGGGACAGAATCCGGCGCCCTGACTGGGACTAGAACCCGGTGTGCTGGCGCCGCAAGGCTGAGGATTAGCCTAGTGAGCCGCGGCGCCGGCAATAAGCTGTATTTTAATTCAGAGTTTGTCTACTGTCCAGGGAATGCGGTAAACACACGGATTTTGAAGTGCCTGATTCCAGCAACTCTAATATCAGAAGATTCTGTGGTTAAGGCAGTCTCCTGGCTTTGTGTTGGCAAGTGTTCTGGTAGCACCAAGGTAATCTTTTTAAACACTTTGATGATAAGTCCCTCAGAACCACTTAAGGGCTGGCAAGGAAGAGCCACTTATGGAGTAATGGCAGTGGCCTTTTGTGCAAAGCCTGTAGTTTTGGAACGATATAGCTTGATGCAAGGACTCTGTTCAAACAGAAATTTTTACTGAGAAATCTATTATCCTACTTTGTGCTAGAAGCTTCTAAAACAGCCCTGAGGGGGGAATTAAGCTCTTCTGTGCCAGTTCTGTTTCTCTAAAGATAAACATTTTGTCTCTGGATAGGTACTTTTTTATCGTTGGCTGATTGCAATGTTTGACTTCATTGATCATAAGGAGCAAATTAACTTGCTCTATGGCTTCTTTTTTGCTTCATTGCAAGATGATGTGCTGGTAAGTAAACATAGGACAGCATCAAGCATCAGTCAAATAGTGTATTCATTTATATTGACATACCATAAGTGCTTCCAAGTGCCACACAATGTGTTTTCCTTATTTACTTTAACATAGGCAAGTATAAGGAATATAATAAAAACCCTTGTGTTCATCTCTCAGATTAGGTAATGTAAAATTTTTACTATATTTGCTTTACATCTTCTCTTAAGGACATAAACATGTTACAGATAGAGTTGACTCCACCTTGGAGTCTCTTTGCTGATCTGGAGCAGTGGTTGCCATTTTTTCACATTTAAACCACTTCAACAGGGTCCTTGGGGTCACTTACTCTACATTTTCTTGATTAACACTGCAGAAACCTCATCAGAATTAATGAGGAGGAGAGGATTACATCTCCTGAGTTGCCAGTGGACTGGGTTTGATTAAATAACATAATCATCTCCATTAAAAACATTAATAACTCTAAGAAATCAATTTGCTGTCCACCTGGAAGACTTTCAAGGACCATCAGTAGTTCACAGACTGTGTGAATCACTCATGTAACTGAGATCCTCTTGCCTTTGGGAAAATCATCCATTGACTGCATCTTTTTTAAAAAGATTATTTATTTGAAAGAGTTACAGAGAGAGAAGGAGAGACAGAAATCTTCCCTTTACTGGTTTAGTTCCCAAATGGCTGCAATGACTGGGGCTGGTCCAGGCTGAAGCCAGGAACTAGGAGCTGCTTTCGGATCTCCCACATAGGTGCAGGGCCCCAAGGACATGGGGCATCTTCTGTTGTTTCCAAGGTTCATTATAAGGGAGCTGGATCAGAAGTGGACCAGCTGGGAATTGAACTGGCACCTGTATGGCATGCCAGCATTGCAGGCATTGGCTTAACTTGCTACCCCACATTGCCAGCCCCTGATTGCATTTAAAAAAGATTTATTTATTTATTTGAAAGGCAGAGTGACAGAAGTGGGGAGATAGAGAAATCATTCTAGGTCACTCCTCAAATGGCCACAATGGCTCGGGGTGGTCCAGGCTGGATCCAGGAACTCCAGCTGGGTCTCCTGCATGGGTGGCAGGGGCCCAAGTACTTGTGGCCATCTTCTGCTGCTTTCCCTGGCACATTATCATGGAGTTGGAACAGAAGCAGAGCAGCCAAGACTTGAACTGGTGCTATGATATGGGATGCAGGCACTTCAAGCTGTGGCCTAACCTGTTCTACCATAATACCACTTCTTCCCCCTGCCCATTGATTATGTTTTTTTTTTTTAATTGGTATTTCTGTATGCTCATTGCATTGTACTAGGCACTGTAGAAGCTTCAAAGTTTAGCACGGAGTTTGTGTACTCCAGGAACTTAAAATCTAGTTGTAGAATTAAAGCACATAAAGTTGAATAATACATTGAGAGTTAAATTGTCAAAGGCAGTATGTGATAGTGTGTGAATAATAATTGCTGGTGTATTTCCAGGAAGGAAGAGAACACTGTTAATCAGAGTGATTAGAAAAAGCATCTTGAAGTGTGTGGGCTTGGAGCCGAGCCTTCAGTATTGAATAGGATTTGGGATTTGGTGAGAGAAAATGATCTATGTGAGGGGGCTATCTCAAGCACAGGTGTGAGAGGTGTAACATGAGTCTGAGGAGACCTTAAATAGATGGATCTAACTTAATTGGAGTTAGTGTTGGCTGGTGGTAAGCACTAAGGCTGAAAGAGTTGGGTGAGGGGTTGATTGTAGAAGTCTTTCAATGTGATGCTTCGGAATTTGAACTTCATTTAGAAATTTTGGGCAAAATACGTTGAAAGGAGTTTTGTAGGATGCTAGGATGCTATTTAGTAGTGCCAAACAGTATAAATTAGGAGAGACGCTAGACAGGAAGACTAGGAGACTGACAAGATAATTCACGTATAATATGATAAAGCTCTAGACTAGAAGTCTATGGACCCCTGCAGCTCTATGCCACTCTTTTAGGAAGTCAAAAGGTCACAATTATTTTCATAATAATACTAAGATATTGTTTGCTATTTTCTTTGTGTTAACATTGGCACTGATGGTGCTAATGTATGTTGGATAAAACTGCTGGTACTTCAGCACAAATTAAGGCAATAGCACCAAACAGTGGTGGTTGTATTTTTTATTGTAGTAAAAAGTTCAAAATGCTAATTTCATTTAAGAATGTCCTAAGTGAAAGAGTAAAAATTAATCCATTACCTTTACTAAATCTCAACCCTTGATACATGTCTTTAGTATTTGTGTGATGAAATGGGAAGTACAAAGCCATTCTACATACTAAAGTGCAGTGATTCTGAGGAAAAGCACTTGTGTGCTTGAGTTGTGAAGCTGCTTTTCTTTTTCTTTTTTTTTGAAAGAATGACATACAAACTATGGTTATTCAAACTTGGGTATCTGGAAAATGTTTTTCTTTCTTTTTTAAGACAGGCAGAGTTAGAGAGACAGAGAGAAAGGTCTTCCTTCCACTGGTTCACCCCCCAAATGGCCACTACGGCTGGTGTGCTGCGCTGATCTGAAGCCAGGAGCCAGGTGCTTCCTCCTGGACTCCCATGGGGTACAGGGCCCAAGCACTTGGGCCATCCTCCACTGCACTCCCTGGCCACAGCAGAGCTGGCCTGGAAGAGGGGCAACCGGGACAGAATCCGGCGCCCCGACCGGGACTAGAACCCGGTGTGCTGGCGCCGCAAGGCAGAGGATTAGCCTAGTGAGCCACGGCGCCGGCCAATTGGCTGGAGTTTTAAAGACTATTTGAGAAGTAGAGTTACAGAGAGAGGGAGAGACAGAGAGAAAGGTCTTCCATCCACTGGTTCACTCCTCAAGTGGCTGCAGTGGCTGGAGCTGGGCTGATCCAAAGCCAGGAGCCAGGAGCTTCTTCCAGGTCTCCCACATGGGAGGAAGGGGCCCAAGTACTTGGACCATCTTCCACTGCTTTCCCAGATGCACAGCAAGAAGCTGGATTGGATGTGGAGCAGGCAGGACTTGAACCTGAGCTCTGGTATGGGATGCTGGTGTTGCAGGTAGCAGCTTATCTCACTGCACCAAAACACCAGCTCCTATGCCCCCCCCCCTTTTTTAATAAAGATTTATTTATCTACTTGAGAGGCAGAAAGGTCTTCTATCCACTGGTTCACTCCCCAAATGGCTGCAGTGGCTGCAACTTGGCCAATCTGAAGCCAGGATCCAGTAGCTGGGAGCTTCTTCCAGGTCTCTCACTTGGGTGCAGGGGCCCAAGGACTTGGGTGATCTTCTGCTGCTTTCCCAGGCTATGGCAGAGAGCTGGATCGGAAGTGGAGCAGCCAGGTCTTGAACCAGTGCCCATATGAGATTTTGGTGCCACAGGCGGAGGCTTAGCCCACTACACCACAGCGCTAGACCCACCATTCAGTCATTTTTAAAAAGTTATTTCTTTATTAGAGACAGAGTGCTCCCATGTGCTGGTTTACTCCCCAGGTGCTCACAATGGCCAGGATTGAGCCAGGGTCCGAGCGTGGAGCTGAGAAGAAAATTAGCAAGGGGTGGCAGGAATCCGGTCACTTGAGTCATTACCCCTGCCTCCCAGAGTCTGCATTAGCAAGAAGCCGGAAACAGGTGTTGATTGAAGCAATCCAGTGTGAGACGTGAGTGTCCTTAGCAAAATCTTAACTGCTGGGCCATAAAGTTGCCCCAGGTACTTACTAATTTCAGTACTTCATAGTAGTATTGGCATAGTGGTTGCCAGCAAGAGCTCTGAAGGCTGATTGGTCTTAAATCTCGAGTCTATTGCCTGTTTGTTGGCTTTAGTTTCTCCTCTAGCAGGAAGTTAGAGTCAGGAGCTGGAGCCAGGACAAAGGTGCCCTGTGAGGCTAAGCACCTGTACTTTAATTAACAAATTTCTGAGTGCCTATTATTTGCAAAACTAAGGACTAAGCTGTTAGTCAAATTACAGTATGTCTACTCACTGGAATATGAAGCATCATTGAAAAATAACTTTGAAGACTAAAAAACATGGAATGTCCTTTTAAGTGGAAAATTAGTTTGTATCTTAATAAATATGGATTAATAATGAACAGAGTATATGTCTTTATTAGGTAGAAGGATCATGGGTAAGTCTTTACTGTTTTTCAAGTTGTCAGTGGTGTTTTTACGTTACCTGAAAATGACCTTTTGGCTGGTGTTGTGATGTAATGGGTTAAGCTGCCTCCTGTGTTGCCAGCATCCCATATGAGTGCCAGTTCAAAGTCTTAGCTGCTCTGCTTGTAATCCAGCTTCCAGTTAATGCACCTGGGAACACAATAGAAGATGACTCAAGTAATTGGGCCCCTGCAACTCTCACGGAATACCTGGATGGTGTTCCAGGCTTCTGGCTTTGGCCTGTCCAACCTTGGCTATTGCTGCCATTTGAGAAGTGAACCAGCAGATAGAAGATATTCCCTCCCTCTCCCCTGCTGCTGTGTGTGTCTATCTCCCTCTCTTTCTTTGTAACTCTGCCTTTCAAATAAGTATATTGTTTTTAAAAAATTACCTAATGGGGTGCCAGTTAAAACTGTTGTTATAGTTATAAAAAACCACTATGTAGTACAGAAAAGAGAAGTTTTATAAAACTATATAGTTTTATAAAACTATTGTTCAAGGAAGTCCTTAAGCCTTTTTACTTACCAGGTGAGATTGACATTTGAAGAAAATGTGTTGCTGTTTTGTTCAAGATGTATTGTCATTTCTTTACAAATTTTTTTTTGTATTTTAACAGTGCCCTTATGTCTGCCATTTGTTATATTTACTTACCAAAAAAGAGAATGGTGAGTATTTTCATTCCAGTTGTATTAATTCACTCTGCATAATTAGCATCTGTATTGGCCTTTATAAAGTTAAAGTAGCTATTAGTGTTAGTTATGACAGGCCTCATTTTGTGGAAATTACTTTTTAGTATTTTTATCTAAAAGCATCGGCTTAATGACTTAACTGAACAGGATATTTCTATTCTTGGTGTATTGTCAGAAGAAACTACATGAGCTACGTGCTGGGTAGGTATTACTGGTTTCTCTTTATTCTGAATCAAATATATAAAACCTTTTCTCTTCACCTTTTGTAGTTAAGCCATTTCGTGTGAGAAAACTGCTTGATCTTCAGGCAAAAATGGTGAGTACCTAAAAGACCAAAGACTGGCCATTGTTCTGTGGTCTAGGCTTTGGGGATACAAAAAGAGTCAAATGAGTCATTATCTAAAAGGAACTCACATTCTGAAGAGCTCAGTCAACAAAGTAAAAAAAGCAGCAAAGGAGGAGTGGTGATGGTTGAAAGAAAATTTAAGGGATAAATAGGATTTAGGTAAGTAAAGAAGGAGGAGCAAGGCATTGCTGCTAGAGAGAACAGCATGTAGATGTCAAACAGCAAACACTTGTTAGGGAACTGAGTTGGGATGGCTGGAATGTTAGGGAGTACTTCAAAGTCAGAAGTGAGTTTATAGTTGTTTTTTGTGAATGGGATCTACAAAAGCATGTCAAGACGTTCTCTTCTGGATATTTAAAATTCCATATGTTCTTTGACCTTTATCTCTTGTCCTTACAACTCTTTTGCGTTGTTATTTCTACTGTACCTGCCAAGTAACAGGAGTCTGTGAAGCTTTGGGTATAAAACAGTTTGAAACAGTAGTGCCCAGGCCTAACTGAAGCCATCATGGTCTGTCTAAAGGCATTCACATTGAATTCAAAACACAAACACATAACACATTTGTGCTTCTCCATGGGAGATTTCTTCTAGTAACAATTCAATGATTGTTCTTGTTTTATAACCTCATAATTTAGATTTGTAGGTAACATATCTTTTCATAGTCTCTGAGAATAGTAATGGTAGTGCTTTTTTTGGTCCAAATTGCATTTTATTTTATGTTAATAGAAATTGTAGAAAGTTGTAAGTTATCTTATATTACAGTAAAACTTTTTTTTAAAGATTTATTTATTTATTTGAAAGTTATAGAGTTATACAGAGAGAGAAGGAGAGGCAGAGAGAGAGAGGTCTTCCATCTGCTGGTTCACCTCCCAGTTGGCTGCAATGGCTGGAGTTGGGCCGATCGGAAGCCAGGAGCCAGGAGCTTCTTCCGGGTCTCCCGCATGGGTGCAGGGGTCCAAGGACTTGGGCCATCTTGCACTGCTTTCCCAGGCCATAGCAGAGAGCTGGATTGCAAGTAGAGCAGCTGGGACTAGAACTGGTGCCCATATGGGATGCCTGCATTGCAGACGGCGGTTTTACCCGCTATGCCACAGCGTAGGCTCACAGTAAAACCTTTCAGCAGAAAATTCTTACCATAATATAAGAGCGTGCTGATTTGTAGTTATTGAAATACACTGTATATTCAAGTTAAATAAAAGGACTTAATTGGGGCCAGTGCTGTGGTGGCATGCGTAAAGCCACCACCTACAGTGCCAGCATCCCTTATGGGCACCAGTTCGAGTCTTAACTGCTCCACTTCTGATCCAGTTCCCTGCTAATGTGCCTGGGAAAGTAATAGAAGATGGCCCAAGTCTTTGGGCCCCTGCACCTGCGTGGGAGACCTGGAAGAAGCTCCTGGCTCCTGGCTTTGGATCAGCCCAGCTCTGGCTGTTGCAGCTATTTGGGGAGTAAACCAGCAGATGGAAGATCTCTCTCTCTCTCTCTCTCTCTCTGCCTCTCTGTAATTCTGCCTTTCAAATAAAGAATTTTTTTTAAAAAAAAACAGGAGTAAATGAAAATGACTTAGGTGATGATTATCTAAAAATTTTAAACCCAGACTTTGAATACAAGATTTCATTATTTCTACAAAATATTTTTTCTATTTATTTGAAAGGCAGGGTGACAGAGAGTGAGAAATATCTTCCATCTGCAGGTTTATTCCCCAAATGGCTGCAGCAGCCTGATCTGGGCCAGGCTGAAGCCAGAAGCCAAGACCTCCATCCTGGTTTCCCACATGGATGGCAGGGACCTAAGCACTTGGGTCATCTTCTGCTGTCTTCCCAGGTGTATTAATAGGGATCTGGATCAGAAGCAGAGCAGCTGGGACTTGAACTGTTGTCCTAGTATGGGATGCTGACGTCGTGGGCACAGCTTAACCCACTGTGCCACAATGCCTGCTGCAATAATTACCTTTTTCATTGTGAACTTAGTGTTTTGGTTAAGTTGTTCTGGTTATATCCAGGTGCTTGACTACAGCATGCGAATTGTGAGATGTCCTACTTAATATTCCGGGAATTGTGATAATTATGTTAATATTACCTTTGATCTGTTTTCTTGGCTCACCTTTTGTTCCTACCTCCTTGGTGTCTAAACTGAGGATGAGTAAACTTGAGTTCTTATAAAAAGTATGACTAGTAAAAAGCAGATATGGACAGAAAAGAAGATAAAATGAAAGTGAAGAAGAGAGAGAATACAAGTAAGAATTAATACAGGGCAAAAGGTCATAAAAGAGAAGATCACAGGTTGGCGAAAGTTATTTTATGATGGTTGATTTAAATATATGGATATGTACTCCTTGGTCTTCTCTAACTATATTTCATAGTGAAAATAGAGTCTGAATATATATTAGTTTCAGTTTATTATTTGTTTTTCTTCTTGATATTTGTTTCTTCAGTTGTTATTGGCCACAAAATTGAAAATTGAAAACTCTTTATTTTATTTCAGGGAATGCAGCCTCATCTTCAGGCTTTGTTGTCAGTGTATAAGTTCTTTGTTCCTACTTTGATATCTGTCTCTTTGCCTGTAAGGAAGAAGGTAAGATATTAAAGACAGAGAAGTATTGAGATTGAAATATGTATTTTGGATAAAGTTAATTTACAGATTTGGACTGAAGTGATTATAGCCTTCTGTTTTAAGAGCTAGTATGTGGCACAGTTTTGGGGAAGTTGTTTTAGGGATTGACACTTTGTGTTGATCCCATCTGATTCATTTAATTGATTCCTGATCAGGAAGAAAAATCTTTAATTGGATTTGTAGTGGTGCCAAAGATTTTATTTTAATATGCTTCAGTTACAGAGTACTAGATTCTATGTTGCTGCAACTTACCAGTAACTACTCTTTTGAACTTCCCATCCAAACGTATAGATCTATTTTAAGAACTCAGAGAATCTGTGGAAGACTGCTCTGCTTGCTGTGAGGCAAAGAAACCAAGGACTTTGTCCAGAACCTCGAAAACTGATGTTAGGTCCAGCTAACATCCGTCCTCTAAAAAGAGTAAGTATCTAAAGCCCCAAATGACTTCTGTGGCCTTATTGTATTAAATCCCGACAATAACTATTCAGATATTGGGGGAGACTGTAGATATTTAAGTATGTTTTAATCATCCGTGGTTCTAAACTACATTTAGACTCCTTTCATTGAAACACCATAACAACTGTTTTTATGTTTATAGTTTGTAGTCTGTTTCATCCATGGATACATTGTTTTATATTTCTCCTTTAGAAGTGGAATTCTCACTCCATTATACCAGTGTTAAATTCCAGTAGCCACACTACAGAATGTGGGAAAAAAGAGATGAATCTTTCTGAGTATCTCAGTAGCAGTGGGTCATTGCCACTAGAACAGCTTCAGAGGTTCCCTCAACTTTTAGAGAACATCCATTGCTTAGAGGTATGTGACTGGACCACGTGCTCATTTGCATTTTCTGCTGATCTTCATGACCTTTATTTTTATTATATGTTTCCTATATGATGATGTCCTTGTTTTGTTGACCCACTTTTCATTTACTCATAGTTACTGTTTGACCACTTGTTTGTTCTTTGCAGCTGCCTTCTCAGATGGGCTCAGTGCTAAACAACTCTCTGCTTCTTCACTATATTAACTGTATCCGAGATGAGTCTGTCCTTTTGAGACTCTATCACTGGTTGAGTCAAACATTACAAGAAGGTAAGAATTATGGTTTTTGTTTTTATTTTATTAATTAATTTATTTTTTTAACAGGCAGAGTGGACAGTGAGAGAGAGACAGAGGGAAAGGTCTTCCTTTGCCATTGGTTCACCCTCCAATGGCCACCGCGGCCGGCGTACACGGCCGGCGTACCGCGCTGATCCGAAGGCAGGAGCCAGGTGCTTCTCCTGGTCTCCCATGGGGTGCAGGGACCAAGTACTTGGGCCATCCTCCGCTGCCTTCCCTGGCCACAGCAGAGAGCTGGCCTGGAAGAGGGGCAACCGGGACAGAATCCGGCGCCCCAACTGGGACTAGAACCTGGTGTGCCGGCGCCGCAAGGCGGAGGATTAGCCTATTGAGCCGCGGCACCGGCCTATTTTATTTTTTAAAGACTCTTTATTCCCATGCATTTCATTATTTTATTTCATTTTAAAGATTTTATTTATTTATTTGAGAGGTAGGGTTACAGACAGGGAAAGGGAGAGACAGAGAGAAAGGTCTTCCGTGCGTTGGTTCACTCTCCAAATGGCCACAATGGCCAGAGCTGTGCCGATCCAAAGCCAGGAGCCAGGAGCTTCTTCCTGGTCTCCCATGTGGGTGCAGGGGCCCCAAGGTCTTGAGCCATCTTCTACTGCTTTCCCAGGCCACAGCAGAGAGTGGATTGGAAGAGGAGCAGCCAGGACTAGAACCTGCACTCATATGGGCTGCTGGTGCCATAGGCAGAAGATTAACTTACTGTGCCACGGTTCCAGCCCCTTGTGGTTTTTATTTTTATGTTTATAAACATCTTGTGTTTATTTTAAAGATTTATTTTATTTAAAAGTCTGAGATACAGAAAAGGACACACACACACAAGTGGGAGGAGGGAGGAGAGAGAAAGAGAGATTGATTCTCCATCCACTGGTTCACTCCCCAGATGACTGCAACAACCAGGGCTGGGCCAGGCTGAAGCCGGGAGATTCTCTCATGTGAATGGCACGAGTTTAAGCACTTGGGCCATCTTCTACTTCTTTTCCCAGGCCAACAGCAGGGAGCTGGATCAGAAGTGGAGCAGTGGGGACTCAAACCAATGCCCAGCTAAAATGCAAGTGTCACAGGCAGCAGCTTTACCTGCTGTGCCACAATGCCGGCCCCATTTTCTTTATGGTTTTTGTTTTTGTTTTATATTTTAGTTTTCAAAAAAGATTCATTTATTTGAAAGAGTGACAGAGAGAGAGAGAGAGAGAGAGAGAGAGAAAGAGATCTGTCATCTGCTGGTTCAGTCCCCAAATGGCACAAAGCTGAGACTGAGCCAGGTGGAAGCCAGGAACCGAGAACTCCATCCGGGTCTCCCACATGAGTGGCAGGGATCCACGTACTTGGGCCATCTTCTACTGCTTTCCCAGCTGCATTATCAGGAGCTGGATTGAAGAGGAATGACCAGAATTCCAACTGGTGCTGCTATATGGGATGACAATGTTGCAGGTGCAGCTTAACCTGCTGTGCCACAACACTGACCCCTATTTTATACTTTATAACAAAGTGCTTATATTTAATTTCTGCTCTAGAATGCGTTTGGTACAAAGTGAATAATTATGAAAATGGAAAAGAGTTTGCCAGCTTTCTGGACACGATCATCAGGGCAGAGTCCTTCTTACACGTAAGATTCTACTTCCTTTCTTTAATACCTGATATCTTTTGTAAAAAAAAATACATTTGTTCACTTTGAAACTCATTACCAACACAAACAAGTCGGACTTACTTTTTTTTTAATCTTTACACTGTTGAATTTGAAAATTAAATATGTAAAATCATGCAAATAAAAGGGAAAGTTCTGTAATTTAAGAGAATAAACTGAAAATGTAATTGAATGCATTCAATTCATTGAATTATCTAGTACAGTAAAATCTCATAGGGTCACTACTTATGTTCTTTTTTTATTGATTTATTTTATTTATTTGAAAGACAGTTACAGAGAGAGGCAGAGATACAGAGAGAGATATCTTCCATCCACTGATTCACTCCCCAAAATGGCTGAAACAGCCAGAACTGAGCCTCTCCGGGACTCCCACGTGGGTGCAAGGGCCCAAGGACTTGGGTCATTCTCCGCTGCTTTCCCAGGCACATTGGCACAGAGCTGGATGGGAAGTGGAGCTGCCGGGACTTGAACCCAGCACTCATATGGGATGCCAGCACTGCAGGCTTTCACCTACTGCGTCACAGTGCCAGCCCCTACTTATGTTCTTATAGTGAACAATTTTTGAGTGTCTGATATCTTCTGGTTGGCCTGGGTAACCCTGATTGGACTTGAAGCTGTGACTCTGGTATCAATACCATCACAAAGGCTTTACTTGTCATTCCAGTCTGAGTTAGCTCCTTGTTTTATGTGGTCCCATGCTCCCTCTGCTTACCTCTATCATGCATGTTCAACCTCAGGTGTTTTTTTTTTTACATGTTATGAGCTTCCAGCAGGCAAAACCATGTTTAAGCTTTCTTCATGTACAGATGTTCAGCTTGGTACCTCATATGAATAAATGATTGTCTAGTAAATCTTAAGGATTTGATATGAGATACTTTAATTGAAAGGTTGGATATGGATGATGGTAGTGAGCATAAAGGGAGGGAACTTGGTTGACTTTTGGATTTCCTGTTGAGAGGATGGATGCCATTTACTAAGAAAAGGAATACAGGAGGAGCAGACTTCGAAAGACACACTTGATTTAAGAGATGCCTTTGGGACATCTATGAGGTCGTATTTGGTAGGTAGTAAGATAATGAGCCTGTGTAGTTCAGGAATGAGATTTGGACTAGAGATATAAATTTAAGACTCCTCATGGTAAAGGTGGTGGTTCTAGCTTTGATGTGCAAGACTTCCCAGAGAGTTCATGCCATGAAAAGATCTAGGATAGAGTCCTGATCCATGCCACTACATAAGGCCCAGTTTGACAAAGGAACAAAGGGACGACCTTGATCCTCACTCTGGTGGAAACATAAGTGACTTAGGAACTCCGACCTCTCTAGATGATGCTGCCTAGAGATTAGTTTTATTCTGTGGCTTGTAATGAAATACCAACCCTATTATCTAGCATTGTAAATATTTTATTAACTATTCAAGTTACTGCATATACTCCAAAATAACAAATTTCATTTATCTTTAAAAATATTATGTAGCTTTATCTTCTTTCCAACTGATAAAGTTTTGTGTTTGAAAACTATATTAATAATGATGGTAATGTATCCAAATATTAATCATTGCATCCTTTCTATGAGGAAGTCTAATACCTAATTTTATTTTGATTTTATTATGTTGATGACAAAAAAAATCTAGAAACAAATATAGCACAAAATAAATTGGTTGTTGGAGTAATCATGACTGGTGAGTTCCATGTAAGGTTTCCTTTGTGTTACAGGAAGGATTTTATTCCTGTGAAGCATTCCTGTATAAAAGCCTTCCTCTCTGGGATGGCTTCTGTTGTCGGTCGCAGGTCCTTCAGCTTGTGAGCTGGATCCCTTTTAATAACTTTTCTGGTATGTGTCATAAAGATTTGGAGGAATTAATTCAGCATAATATGAATCAAAAGGATTTTGAATAATCTTTTTCTTTTTTTAATTCCTAGAGATGAAACCACTTCTCTTTGACCATTTGGCACACCTTTTCTTTACATCAACCATTTATTTCAAGGTAAAAAAAAAAACAAAAACTCATCTTGCTTGAATTTATTGCGAAGTGTTATTCTATTGCCAGTGGTACACAATCCCAAACATGACAGCAATAGTTTTCTACCAGGATTCTCTTGGACCTGGGATTTGAGATCTCCATTGCTTAATTCAGAGTTAGTGCCTAGAATTGTACATCTTTAAGATTTTGTTGTATATAGTTTTCCTGAACTATTTCTACTTAATTACAGATGACAAAGTGAATGAATAAGAGGCAAATGTGTATTAATAAAAACAACCTAGAAAATACTTAAGCAGACTTTGTTGTGATTTATATTTTGGTAGATAGGCTTATTCATTCCAAAAATATTTATTGAGGCTTCTGCTATGTTCTAGATATATATTTTGACACTTGAGAATACAGTAGTAACCACAGCAAACAAAACTTGCTGTATTGTATATTTATAGTATAGTTATTTTCTGTAAATCTGATTGTTCTAATCTTACTTGATTAAAAAAAGACCACTGTGGCTTCCAGGAGTTCTCCTTGAATGAATTGGAGTGACACTTTCTTCTAGAATGGTTTTTCCTATTCCAAAAGAGTGACAATATAAGTAATGTTTCTTTTATAGCTTTTTTTTCACTTTTGAAAATAAGATTTATTGAATTGAAAGGTGGTGAGACAGAGATAGAGATATTTTCCATCAACTGGCTCACTCCCCAAATGGCCACAACGGCTGAGGCTGGTCCAGGCCAAAGCCAGGAACCTGGAACTCTATCTCGGTTTCTCGTATGAATGACAGGAGTACAAGTACTTGGGCCATCTTCTGCTATTTGCCCAGGCACATTAGCTGGGAGCTGGATCGACAGTGGAGCTGCTGGGACTCTAGCCTGGGCTCTGAGATGTGATATGGGCATCTCAACATCTTTTCACTTTAAATCACTTAGTATTGGCCACATTTACAGAAGAAGAAGTTTTCCTGGTGATTAGTGTCATAATTAAATGGCACTTTATTATCATGTTAACTTGGATTTGAGATTTATTTGTAATACTTAGAACCTCTGCTACTTGACCAGTATCATTATTCACATGACAAAGTATACCAGTTCTTCCAGCTAATAAATTTTCAGGGACTTCATTTTGTAGTTTTTTTTTTGTTACTCTCTCTCAACCTTTGTGTTATTTCTTTTTTTTTTTAAAGACTTATTTTTTTTAAGACTTTTTTTATTTTTTATTTTTTGACAGAGTGGACAGTGAGAGAGAGAGACAGAGAGAAAGGTCTTCCTTTTGCCGTTGGTTCACCCTCGAATGGCCGCCGTGGCCGGCACACCACGCTGATCTGATGGCAGGAGCCAGGTACTTATCCTGGTCTCCCATGGGGTGCAGGGACCAAGTACTTGGGCCATCCTTCACTGCCTTCCCGGGCCACAGCAGAGAGGTGGCCTGGAAGAGGGGCAACCGGGACAGAATCCGGCGCCCCGACCGGGACTAGAACCCGGTGTGCTGGCGCCGCAAGGCGGAGGATTAGCCTAGTGAGCCGTGGCGCCGGCCATGTGTTATTTCTGTATTTGTTCTCTTATTCCACCAATTTAAAGTGTTGTTTATCTATAAACATTTCGTTGGGCCATAGGAAATTGCCATTTTTGTAGGTAAAAAATAGTTGATGATTAGCAGTTTCTTATGATTCAACTAATGTACATATATACATTTATACATAGATACATGTATTTATATTTGACAGGGAGGAAGGAAGAAGAGAAACTAGATGGTGAGCCAAGGATAGTGCTCAGGGGGATACTCAGTATTTATTTCTCAGGCTGAAATGGGAGAGAATGTAAAAGAACCTTAGGAAGGAATTGTCAGAAATATGAAAAGAACCAGGAGGATAATAATGTAGAGGAAACAAAGGGAACGCAGGATATGAAGAAGGATTTAATTAATAATGTTTTTTTTTTAATTTTTTATTTAGTAAATATAAATTTTCAAAGTACAGTTAATGGATTTCAATGGCTTCCCCCCCATAATTTCCCTCCCACCTGTACCCCTCCCATCTCCCACTCCCTCTCCCATTTCATTCACATCAAGATTCATTTTCAATTATCTTTATATACAGAAGATCAATTCAGTATATATTAAGTAAAGATTTCATCAGTTTGCACCCACACAGAAACACAAAGTGTAAAGTACTGTTTCAGTACTAGTTATAGCATTACTTCACATTGGACAACACATTAAGGACAGATCCCACATGAGAAGTAAGTACACAGTGACTCCTGTTGTTGACTTAACAATTTGACACTCTTGTTTATGGCGTCAGTAATCTCCCTAGGCTTTAGTCATGAGTTGCCAAGGCTATGGAAGCCTTTTGAGTTCGCCGACTTCGATCTTATTCCGACAGGGTCATAGTCAAAGTGGAAGTTCTCTCCTCCCTTCAGAGAAAGGTACCTCCTTCTTTGATGGCCCCGTTCTTTCCACTGGGATCTCACTCGCAGAGATCTTCCATTTAGGTCTTCTTTTTTTTTTTTTCCCCAGGGTGTTTTGGCTTTCCATGCCTAAAATAGTCTCCTGGGCTCTTCAGCCATATCCGAATGCCTTAAGGTTACCAACTATCCCAGGATGGTTCAGAAAGATAAGGATGAAAGAATTTAGTTTGGAATTAGCAAGATGGAGGTTTTAGGTACCTTTGTGAGTAGTTTCAATGGAGTGTGGAGGTAGAAGCCAAATTGTTGAGAGAGTTAAGGAGTAAATGAAAAGTGAAGAAATCAAGACAGTAAGTATATATTACCATTCAGAAAGTTTGTCTAGGAGTGAAAATTTGGAACAGCAGTTTTAAGATGCTGCTTAGTACACCCACATCCCATATAGGAGTATCTGGGTTTGAATCTCATTTCTGCTTCTGATTCCAGCTTCCTGTTAATGTGTATCCTGGGAGGCAGCAGTTGATGAATCAAGTACTTGGGTCCCAGCCACCCATGTGGGAGATCCAGATGGAGTTCCTAATTCCTGGCTTTCGCCTGGTCTGGCCCCGCCCTGGCTGTTGCAATCATTTTGGGAGTGAACCAGGGGGTTGAAGATCTCTCTTTGTCACCTTGTCACTCTGCCATTCAAAATGAAAAGAAATTAAAATTTAAAAAGATTAGAAGTTTGGCTAAAAAAGAGGTAGAGAAACAGCTATAACAGGTTTTTGAATCAAGGGAATTCCCCCACCCCTGGAATGAGAGAAAACTGAGTGTTTATAGACAGCGTGAAAGGAGCCAGTTGGAGAAGAGGGAAAGGTTGGAATTAGAGGAAAGGTGAGGTATAATTGATGATATAAGATTCCGGAAGAAAAATGAGGGTATTGTATTAAGACTAAGTAGAAGGATTTGCTTGTATGGATGGTGAGGGTTTAGGAGATGCCACTTACCTAAGACTAAGGGAAGGAAATGGGGATAGGTAGGGATAGATAGATAGATAGATAGTACAGTTGGAAGAAAGGGCAAGAAATTTTTTTTCCTAAAAAAGTCGAATTGCTTAAAATAGGACATACGTTATACAAGATAGAGTTAAGTAGAAGGCTTCAGTAGAGTGTTAGGTGCTTAGGGAGAGAGTGCTGGTTGAAGACAACTGAAAAGATTATTGAGCTTCATTAAAGGCTCAGCTGAAAATGGAGTTCATAAATTTGGAGTGGCACCAATCTATATAGATGGGTGTTTTTCTTCTATTTAAATGTGGGGGAAGAGAAAACAAGTTATAAGATTAATCAGTTTGGATTTTGTTGAGCGAATGGAGCAAAGAGTGGAAGATGATCAGTAGTGTGGTCTAGTCTAGATAGAGAAGAGAGGGCAGGAGAAGGCTGATAAGCCTGCAAGTGGAGGTTAATGAAGGAATTGAATCTCTTTGACATTGAAGAGTACTAGTAACTGTAGTTGGAGTTGAGGGTATGAGAAAGCTCAAAGAACAGGAAGTTAGAACAAGGAAGGGATGCAAGTAGATCTTGGTAGTGGTTCAGTTCAGGTTGTGACAGAACTTAGTGTGTGGCTGTGGGAGTACATAACTAAGGTGAAGTGAAGGTAATGAGTTATCTGATTTGAGGTCTTAGAGCTGTGAAGCTCAAGTGTCAGATGGACCATCTTCATAGACACTGACATTTGGAGGTGTTGATGGCAGGGCACAGGCAGAGGTTGCTAAGGTCCTCAGTAAATGTGGGTGAATGAGGAATGTGTGAGCTGAAAGACATGTTTAAGAAGAAAAGTAAAGGGTAATTTAGTTGGATAGTATTGTCTTCAAAGGAGAAAGTGTTTTTATACATGATGGTTTGGAAATAATGTTGAAGATAGATTTTATGTTGTATTCAGAGAACCAAGGGATAGTCAAACTCATGAGAAAAACTGAATGTGTCACAATGAAATCTGAAATGAGGGTCTTTTATCTTAGCCTAACAAATCCAGATGACATTACAGTAGCCCGTCACTTATCCACAAGGGATACATTTCAACACTCTAAGTGGAGCCTGAAACTGCAGATAATACTGAACTCTGCTTTTTTTATACCTATGATGAAATGTAATTTATAAATTAGGCACAGTAAGAGATTAACATTAGCTAATGATAGAATAATTTAAATAATATACTGTAATAAAAGTTACTTGTGGTCTTTCTCAAAATATATTTTCTTAAAAAAGATTTATTTATTTGCTTATTTATTTATTTATTTATTTATTTATTATGAGAGGCAGAGTTACAGATAGAAGGAGAGAGAGAGAGAGAGGTCTTCCATCTGTTGGTTCACTCCTCAAATTGCTTCAACAGCCAGAGCTGGGCCAACCGAAGCCAGGAGCCTAGGGGCTTCTTCTGGATCTCCTGTGTGGGTGCAGGGGCCCAAGCACTTGGGGTCATCTTTTTTTTTTTTTTAAGATTTATTTATTTACTTGAGAGGCAGAGTTATAGAGAGAGAGGTCTTCCATCTGCTGGTTCAGTCCCCAAATGGCTGTAACACCTAGAGCTGGGTCAATCCAAAGCCAGGAGCCAGGAGCTTCTTCTGGTCTCCATGTGGGTGCAGGGGCCCAAGCACTTGAGCCATCTTTTACTGCTTGTCCAGACCATCAGTAGGGAGCTGGATCAGAAGTGGGGCAGCCAGGACTTGAACTGGTGCCCATATAGGATGCTGGTGCTGTAGGCAGAGACTTAACCTACTATGCCACAGTGCTAGTCCCTCTCAAAATATCTTACTGACAGTAGATCTTAGCAAGCTCAGCACACAGGTTTTTTTTTGTTTGTTTGTTTTAAATTAAGTCAAGAACTGTCACCTTCTCACTTAAGGAAACACTCTATGTCTTCTCTTTGACATATCCGAATTTCTAGCATTACTGTTTACTCTTGCACTTTGGGGCCATTATTAAGTGAAATAAGGGTTACTGGAACGTGGACACCGGGACACCAGAACAATCCATCTGGTAACAAATGTGGCTACTAAATGACTAAATGGCAGGTAGAATTTGCAGCATGGATATACTGGACAAAGGAATGAATAAAGTCCTAGGAAGGTGCAGGATGTCGTCACACCACTCACACTCAGAATGTTATCACACCACTCAGAAAGGCATGCAATTTAAAACTTATGAATTGTTTATTCTGGAATTTGATTTCTTTGTATGTTTTTAATTAAATCTGATTCCCTTCTTAAAGTAGGATTCATTTCTGATTATTTTATCAAACAAGAGGGCTTATATTCTATTCCCAACTAGCAGTGGAGAGCTAGGGTAATGCTTACCTCCAGTATTGAAGTGGGGTATGGAAATATATTCAGTGGAAACACTCTTGTGGTTGTGTGGTGGAGAGGACCAGGATACCATTAGGGTAAAGGAGACAGAGAAAGCATTCCATATAGAATATGACCAGGTAGGTGTGGTTTATCATGGAAAAGAGGTTCTGGATACTGCAGTTGGGAGATTTGAGAAGGATGAGATCAAGGAAAGAGGACAGGGGGCACAGGCAGGTATAGAACACAAGACAGGTGACCTAAGGGGCTTACATTTTAGGAGGTGACTGAGGATAACAGGAATGTGAGAAGTAGAATTTGCTAAAAGCTCAATTATTTCTGAAACCTATAGTAACTAATTATCGCCTTCTTATCATATGGCTTGATCACTCAGCTTAGTCCAATAAATGAACAGTATTTTTAAAAAAGATTTATTTGAAAAGTAGTGTTGCAGACAGGAAGGGAGAGACCAAGAGGTCTTCCATCTGCTATTTCACTCCCCAAATGACTGCAAAGGCCAGGGCTGGGCCAGGCTGAAGCCAGGAGCAAGTAGCCTCATCTGGATCTCCCATGGAGCAGGGACACAAAGACTTGAGCCATCTTCCCCTGCTTTCCTCAGGCCATTAACAAGGAGCTAGATTGGGAGTGGGGCAGCTGGGACATGAATCGGTACCCATAAGGGATGCCAACATCACAGGTGGTGGTTTTACCTGTTGTACTACAATGCCAGTCTCCAGTATTTTAAAAATTCATTATTTTCACATTTCAGTGCTTTTGGTTTCTGGATGATCTGTTGAGCCTGTCAGTAATGAAATCTTTTTTGCTGAAAAATTTTGCATGGAAAAAGCCTCATAAATCCACTGTAACTTTATTATTTTTGTTTTGGAGTATTTTTCAAATTTTGTCTTATTGATTTATCATTTTCTATATAATTACAAATGTGATGGGCATAAATTTAAAAATCAATACAAAATTAACATTGCATAACAATTTCATGTTTTCACAGCCTTCATAATATTTTTCCAGTGACACCCTAGTTTATGGTACTGTAACTTATTTAATTATTTCCTTATTTCTAATTTGTTTCTGTTGTAGGAGTGGATAACTGTCTTGAACATCTTAATAATACATGTTTTTTGTTTTTTCTCCCTCAGTGTAGTATTATTGAGAGCCTGAAAGAGCTACTGCAGAATTGGTTGTTGTGGCTTTCAAAGGACATCCATGTGAAACCTGTGACAGACAGTCCTCTGTGAGTTCTCTTGTAATGTCCCCCATAACAGCCGATCTGTATAAAATGTTTGCATATGGAGTTTAATAGCGTTTAATGAGACCTACTTGTTATTTCCTCAGAATTCTGAAAGAAATTTTAATTCTCCAAATTTCTGTAATGTAAATCAGAAAGCAAACCTTGATCTTCAATGTGACTTGCAAGAGTTAACACAGAGGGGCTAGCACTGTGGCTTAGTAGCTTAAGCCTCTGCCTGTGGTGCCAGCATCCCATATGGGCGCCAGTTCGTGTCCTGGCTGCTTCTCTTCTGAACCAGCTCTCTGCTTATGGCCTGGGAAAGCAAAGGGAGATGGCTCAAGTGCTTGGGCCCCAGCCCCTGCATGGGAGACCCAGAAGCAGCTCCTGGCTCATAACTTCGAATCAGCTCAGCTCCCACTGTTGCGGCCATTTTTGGAGTGAACCAGCAGATGGAAGACCTTTCTCTCTGTCTCTCCCTCTCTCTGTAACTCTACTTCTCAAATAAATAAAATCTTAAAACATAAAAACAGTTAATATAGAAAAACACCGATGAGGTTGCCACTGTGGCATAGAAGGTTAAGCTTCTGCCTACAGCACCCATATCCCATATGGGCGCCGGTTCAAGTCCATGCTGCCCCACTTCCAATCCAGCTCACTGCTAATGCACCTGGGAAAGCAACGGAAGATGACCCAAGTACTTGGGACCCCTGCACCCATGTGGGAGACAAAGAAGCAGCTCCTTGCTCCTGGCTTCGATCTGGCCCAGTTCTGACTATTGTGGCCATTTGGGGAATGGACCAGCACATGGAAGATCTCTCTCTCTCTCTTTATCTCCTCTCTGTATCTCTGCTTTTCAAATAAATTAGATATTAAAAAAAGAAAAACACTGGAGAGCTGAGGTTAGAATTTGCAACTTTGACTTTCCTTCATTTTAACTCACTTAAAATGTATTCTTAAGGGGTGGCGCTGTGGCTCAGTGGGTTAAAGCCCTGGCCTGCAGCGTCGCCATCCCATGTGGTCACTGGTTCGAGTCCTGGCTGCTCTACTTCCTATCCAGCTCACTGCTAATGTGCCTGGGAAAGCAGCGGAGGATTTATTAAAAATGCTTTCCATTTGGGGAGTGAACCAGCAGAGGGAAAACCTTTGTCTCTGTCTCTCTCTCACTGTCTGTAACTCTGCCTGTCAAATAAATAAATAAAATCAAAAAGTATTCTTATATATGTAAAAGTGAATTTTGATGATGGATAGGAAAATCTATAAGGTATCTTTGCTGTACAACTTTGTTTTTATGTTCTTGTGATGTATTTTGGCTATATGTATTAATGTATTTTGACTTTGGAATTTTTTTATAAAGGACTTATTCACTCATTTATTTGAGGGGCAGACTTACAGAGAGAAGGAGAGACAGAGTGAGAGAGAGAGAGAGATCTTCCATCTACTGCTTCACTCCCTAAATGGCTGCAATGGCTGGGCCTGGGCCAGGCTGAAGCCAGAAGCCTGGAACTCCCTCCAGGCCTCCCATGTGAGTGGTAGTGGCCCAAGTATTTGGGCCATCTTCTGTTGCCTTCCCAGGCACATTAGCAGGGAGCAAGATGGGAAGTGGAGCATCCAGGACTTGAACTGGTACTCAAATGGGAGCCTGGCTTAACACACTGAACCACAACGCCAGCCCCTACTTTGGAATTTTATAAAATGGCCTGAATTTCTGTTAAATGTGAACTTCACGCTCGAAATGTGAGTAAAAGACTGAATTTCAAGGAACACATAATCAGGTTGATTTAACTCGTTCTCCCTAAAATCTTTGGTATTTCCTGTATTCTGTTATTAACTATGTTATTTTTGTCATTTAAAAAGCTTCATATTGTAGAAAATTGCAAATATAATCAAAGGAAATAAAAGTGTAGTGTTACCCCTATGTATTCATTGAGCTTCAACAGTTATTAACTCATGCTAGACCTTTTTAAAATCTATAACACACACCCTTTTACCTTCCCCTTGGATTACTTTAAGCAAAGCTCAGACACCAATTTTAAATGTAAAAAAAATGGTTCTATTATACCAAAAAAATTAATAGTTCTTTGTATTTCCAAGTGTATAACCCATGTTCAAATTTCTCTTAGCTTCGGCTGTAAACAGCTGGTGGGTAGTTTAAGAGTAGCCCAGACTCAATTTTCTATATGTTCTTATCCCTTTATTGATCTACGTTGACAGGAAAATGAAGAAAGAAACTGCTTGAGGGTAGCCTGGAAAATGGTTTTCAATTTGTCATATTATTATAACGTTTTCTTGTATGACCACATACAAGATGGAACATTCCTGAGCAGTGAAAATATGTTGTAAAGATGAGCTTCTCTACTAAAGTATAGTCCTTAGGCCAGCAGCATCAGTATCACCAAAGAACTTGTTAGAGATGCAAATTATCAGGCTCTGTCCTAAATCTATTGAAACACTGGAGGTGAGGCCTAGTAACTGTGTGTAATACTTAAATAATTCTGGTGCACACTGAAGTTTGAGAAGTGCTATTTTTTTTTAATTTATTTGACTGGTAGAGTTATAGACAGAGAGAGAGAGAAAGGTCTTCCTTCTGCTGGTTCACTCCCCAAATGGCCGCTACGGCCGGCACTGCGCCAATCCGAAGCCAGGAGCCAGGTGCTTCTTCCTGGTCTCCCATGTGGGTGCAGGGCCCAAGCACTTGGGCCATCCTCCCCTGCCCTCCCGGGCCACAGCAGAGAGCTGGACTGGAAGAGGAGCAACCGGGACTAGAACCAGTGCCCATATGGGATGCCGGCGCCACAGGCAGAAGATTAACCAATTGAGCCACAGCGCTGGCGGCGAAGTGCTATTGTAAAGAAATTCTACTTAAATGCTTAACTTCTTCCACCTAAATTCTGTTAAGAATAATGTGTTTTCATTTATAATCTTTGGCCAAGTTGCAATGTAAAGTCTGAGGCACCCCTTAAATAGGTGCTTACAATGTGTGTATTGTCTTTCCCCACATCCTGGGGTTCTTCTTTATTAATATCATAAATTAAGGGAGAACATTTAAAAAGGAGCTCTGCTTTCTAAAATTCTTCTTTTTTCCCAAGCTTTTTATTTTTATTTATTTGAAAGGCAGAGTTATAGAGAGAGGTAGAAACAGAGAGAGAGAGAGAGAGAGCGAGGTCTTCCATACACTCCTTCACTTCCCAAAAGGTGGAAATGACTGCAACTGGGTCAGGCCAAAGCCAGGAGCTTCTTTTAGGTTTCCCATTTGGGTGCAGGGGCCCAAGCACTTGGGCCATCCATTGCTGCTTTCCCAGGTGCATTAGCAGGGAGTTGGATTGGAAATGGAGCAGCTGGGACTGGAACCAGCGCCCATATGGGATGGCTGTGTCACTGTGCTGATCCTTCTAAAATTCTTTCCTTTTTTTTCTTTTTTTGACAGGCAGAGTGGATAGTGAGAGAGAGAGACAGAGAGAAAGGTCTTCCTTTTGCCGTTGGTTCACCCTCGAATGGCCGCCACGGCTGGTGCGCTGCGGCCGGTGCACCGCACTGATCCGATGGCAGGAGCCAGGTGCTTCTCCTGGTCTCCCATGGGGTGCAGGACCCAAGCACTTGGGCCATCCTCCACTGCCTTCCCAGGCCACAGCAGAGAGCTGGCCTGGAAGAGGGGCAACCAGGAAAGAATCTGGCGCCCTGACTGGGACTAGAACCCGGTGTGCTGGCGCCGCTAGGTGGACGATTAGCCTATTGAGCCGCGGCGTCAGCCCTTTCCTTTTTTTTAAGATTTTATTTATTTATTTGAGAGGTAGAGTTACAGACAGAGGCAGAGACAGAGAGACGTCTTCATCCACTGGTTCACTCCCCAGATGGCTGCAATGGCCAGAGCTGCGCCAATCCGAAGCCAGGAGCCAGGTTCTTCTTCCCGGTCTCCCACGTGGGCCATCTTCTACTGCTTTCCTAGGCCACAGCAGAGAGCTGGATGGGAAGAGGGGCAGCCGGGACTAGAACCAGCGCCCATATGGGATGCCGGCGCCACAGGCGGAGGATTAACCTGCGCCATGGTGCCAGCCCTTAAAATTCTTAAACAGCCAACAAATGGACATACATGTAGATAACTTTGCTTATCATACTAATTTTTGATATATAGACATGTATAGATTTGATATATAGAATAGCTCTTAAGTTTTCAATGATCCTGTTTATTTTGGAGGTATGGGTACAAGGCTATATTTCCATCATATGAACATATGCCGTATGACTGTCAAAAAGGGAATGAATAATTACAAATCATAAGAAGAGAAGGGTAGAAAACCACATCAGCAATGCTTCTCTAGGGGACATTTCTTGTCACAGTGACTGGGAAAAGAGTGCCATCATCATTTAGAGGTAGGAGCTAGGGACACTAAACGTGCTGCAAATTGTGGGGAGTAGGTGGTATGCCCGAATTGTGAGTTACTTCATTCAAAATGCCAAGAGTGTGCTGTGGAAAGCACTTCAAAAGAGGCTGTTCTGAGCAATCACCATTATTTCAAATGATTTTAGACTCATTCGCAAGTTACTGAGAAAAATCATAGTTAAGATACAGTTTTGTAATTAGCCAGCTGACTATAGGGGTGCCTGCCCATGTGAATGGTCTCCTAATCCTTCCCTGCTTGCTCTTACACTGAACCATCGTAGTGATTGGGTGGTGTTAGAGTCATCACCATCTGTCAAGCTGTAAATCTGTGTGTGTGTGTGTGTAAATTCCTTTCTCCTTGTGCATAATCTTGTTACAAATAGGGTGGCTGGCGCCGCGGCTCACTAGGCTAATCCTCCGCCTTGCGGTGCTGGCACACCGGGTTCTAGTCCCGGTCGCGGCGCCGGATTCTGTCCCGGTTGCCCCTCTTCCAGGCCAGCTCTCTGCTGTGGCCACGGAGTGCAGTGGAGGATGGCCCAAGTGCTTGGGCCCTGCACCCCATGGGAGACCAGGAGAAGCACCTGGCTCCTGCCATCGGATAAGCGCGGTGCGCGCCGGCCCTGGCGGCCATTGGAGGGTGAACCAATGGCAAAGGAAGACCTTTTTCTCTCTTTCTCTCTTTCACTGTCCACTCTGCCTGTCAAAAAACAAAAAACAAAAAAAAACCACACACACCAAACAGGAGGGTAAAGCTGTGAATATACATTTGTAGTTCTTTTCCTAATCCAATTAACAGTGGATTGAAAGATAGGAGTGAGAAGATGAATGCATGGAACTAATATATATGTATGGTTTGGTGATTTGGGGAGAATGTAAGATATCCAGATCTGGTTTTCACCAGAAGAATGAAAGATGCCAAGTGTTTGTCTAATTCAGTTCTAGGATTGAATTGAATTCCAGTGAATTTATTTTCAAGATAGATTTATTTATTTTTAAAGATTTTTTTTAAAGATTTATTTATTTACTTGAAAGTCAGAGTTACACAGAGAAGGAGAGGCAGAGAAAGAGAGAGAAGTCTTCCATCCGCTGGTTCACTCCCGAGTTGGCCGCAATGGCCAGAGCTGCGCCAATCCAAAGCCAGGAGCCAGGAGCTTCTTCCAGGTCTCCCAAGTGGGTGGCAGGGGCCCAAGCACTTGGTCCATCTTCTGCTTTTCTAGGTGCACTAGCAGGGAGTTGGATTGGAAGCAGAGCAGCTGGGCCTAGAACCAGTGCTCCAATATGGGATGTTAGTGTTGTAGGTGGCCACTTAAGCCACTACACCACAACATTGGCCCCCAAAATATATATATTTTTTAAAGATTTATTTTATTTATTTGAAAGAGTTACAGAGAGAGGTAGAACCAGGGTGAGAGAGAGAGAGAGAGAGAGAGAGAGAGAGGTCTTTCATTTGCTGGTTCACTCCCTAAATGACTGCAACAGACAAAGCTGTGCTGATCTGAAGCCAGGAGCCAGGAGCTTCTTCCGGGTCTCCCACATGGGTGCAGGGGCCAAAGGATTGGGCCATCTACTACTTTCCCAGGCCATAGCAGAGATCTGGATTGGAACTGGATTAGCTGGGACCCGAACCAGTGCCCACATGCGATGCCGGCACTGCAGGTGGCGGCCTTACCCGCTGCGCCACAGTGCCAGTCCCCAAAAATATTTTTAACAGTATTTTAGCTCAGGAGTTCAGACAGAATTGGGTTTTGAATTGTGTACTTTAAGTTTCAATCCGTGTGTTGCATTGTAACTAACATTACAGGAAACTATCCTGAAAGTCATTTTAATGTTTATCCCTTTAAGCCACCTGTGATGTGATAGGGATTAATTATGTCTATCTTTTTCTAATTTATCATTTTGTCCATTTTCAGATTTTATTCTGGGTTTTCCATGTCACTTTATCATGCACTCTTTTTTTCTCCCTTAACTGTTGCTGGAATACCTATTTAAAAATTTTCAAATTTATTGTTATTTGAAAGGCACACAGGGAGAGATTTTTTCTTTCTGTTCATTTACTCCTCAAATGTCCACAGTGGCTGAGGCTGGGCCAGGCCACTGCCAGGAACCCCGAATTTGATCTGTGTCTCTCGTGTGTGTGACAGGGTCCCAAGTACTTGAGCCATCATCTATTGCCTCTTAGAGCGCACTTTAGTAGGAAGCTGGAATCAGAAGCAGAGCCAGGTATTCTGATATGAGATTACTGCACCTTATCCTGTGTCAAATGCTAGCCCCAGAATACTTGTTTTTCTAGTATTTTTATATATCTTTCACTTAGAGATTTCCCTAATTGAGGAGTGTTAGATTTTAATGCATAGCAATTACTAGAAGCTATGGTGACTACTGTGATCTGTGGACATTGATAACATGATCTAATGTCTATCTGGGGTTAATCATTTTTTTTGTCTGATATTTACTAGTAGAGTCTAGCTGATGAAGATATTCTATGAATTGATCTTAATGGTTCCCTAGAGGGCAAAGTGTAGTTTTATGATTAATCACTATGGTTTTTTTTTTATAAAAAATTTAATTATATGTTGGAGCACTGATAGTTTTTGAAATCCCTACCAGTATTTTATATATTATCCAGTTTTAGCTTGGATGTTTTGAGCATTTTTGCTCCTCTGGATCTGAATGTTATGGTTTCTTATTGCAGAGACACATCGTTGTGTGAATCCATGAACTCTGTGTTTAAACTCGTTCACTATGTAGGGTGGCTGTCCACTATTGGCATGCGCTTGGAGAGGAACAGTACTTTCTTGATGCACTTTATTTTGGATTTCTTTGAGACGGTAGTATACATTTCATTTTCCCTATATTGATTTTTGTGATGGCTGTCCATAGGCATGTTATTTAAATTTTATGTGCAAACATTAATGTAGGCTATGATCTTATTTGCATAGTTCAAATAACCTTACATTTTGAAGTTAATGATTGTATTCTTGCCTGAGTAACAGATTTCATCAAACAAAATGGAAAACAAATGCACTGCTTTTTATGCCCAGGTATCACTTTAATAGATATTGACCTGAATAAATCTGGCCCTAGACAGAAATCTGTTTCTGGTGTCACTTTTTGTTTTATCTGTTTTACATCCCCAACTCCTGGCAAAAACTAAAAGTATCTTCTTGTTTCTTCAGGTCTCTACTCCTGCCTTTCAATCACGTTATTCCTCTTGGTACCTTATACCTTTATGATTCTGTTGTTGTTCTAGTGTTCTATAGTATTTAACCTGTACAGAACTACAAAACTATTATCCATGAAGTACCCATTAATATCCCACTTTTCCTGGCTTCCTCCTTTCACTAATATCTGGTTTTCTTGTATGATGTATTTGTTTGGAAGAATATTCAGTTGTTTTACAGGTTGACAGGTAACTGATATGATAAGTAGTTACGGGACTTAAGGCAAAAGGAATATTCCCTTCCTCTACCCTATCACCTCAATACCAGTCCCCAGAAAGAATGATTTTATTATTGGTCTTCTAGAAATAATGCTGTATGGTAGGATTAATGTTTGGTGAAGTTTATTTTACAGGAGTTGGTCAGGTCCAAACGAAATGTTATATTATTACTTATTTTATACTGATGATTCTTTGGCTGAACTTGGTTGCAGAGTTCTGGGGAGGAATCCACATACTGATGCTGTCATTTTTCCCCAAAGGCGTGTGACATATATTTAATTTATAACCTTCCATTGGTGGTGTTGTTTCCTCGTGCAATCTTCTATTCTGCACTCTTCACCCTGGATGCCAGTATCCTGAACCAGCTCTGTTATATTATGCACAGGTACAAAGCTTTATTTTTAAACACTTTATTAATTAGTATATTATAATTCTGTCTTCATCCTTCAACTATAATATGGTAAAAATTCCTCTTCATTTTCTTTTGGGGGCCTGTGGAAATACGAAGCATGGTTTTCTTTTGGGCATGACACTCCAGTATGGGATTGTGCTAGTTGGTCGTGTTTAAATCCTCCACTGCTTGAGACATGGAATCTTAAAAAATATAGTTAATGACCTTTTGAGCAATAGAGCTGTTGCACTCATCATTGTTAATTCTAATTGCTGTTTCTTAAAAAAGTTAGTCTTGGGGCTGGTGTTGTGGCATAGTGGGTAAAGCTGTTGCCTGTGATGCCAACATCCCGTATGGACACCAGTTCATGTTCTGGCTGCCCCATTTCTGATCCAGCTCCCTGCTGATATTCTGGGAAAGCAGCAGTAGAAGTCCCGAGTCCTTGGGGCCCCTGCCACTGACATGGGAGACCTGGAAGAAGCTCCTGGCTTTGGCCTGGCCTAGCCCTGGCCATTGAGGCCATCTGGGGAGTAAACCAGCAGATAGAAGATCTCTCTCTCTCTCTCTTTCTAACTCTTTCAGGTAAATAAATAAATCTTAAAAAAATCATTTGCTGAGAAATGCTTCTCTTATAAAAATGTTTTGTAGGAAATAAAAGGAAATATTTCTAATTATGTGAAACTTTTAAAGTATTATTTCTGATCTCCTGTAGTTCTTTTACTTATGAACTGACATTACTCTTTTCAATCCATAAATATAGATCCTTTTGGCATAACATGTTAGACTATGTCAAGGTTAAATTTTTTTTTTTGACAGTCAGAGTGGACAGTGAGAGAGAGAGACAGAGAGAAAGGTCTTCCTTTGCTGGTGGTTCACCCTCCAATGGCCGCTGCGGCTGGCGCACCGTGCTGATCCAAAGCCAGGAGCCAGGTGCTCCTCCTGGCCTCCCATGGGGTGCAGGGCCCAAGTACTTGGGCCATCCTCCACTGCACTACCGGGCCACAGCAGAGAGCTGGCCTGGAAGAGGGGCAACCGGGACAAAATCCAGTGCCCCGACCGGGACTAGAACCCGGTGTGCCAGCGCCACAGGCAGAGGATTAGCCTATTGAGCCACGGCGCCAGCCAAGGTTAAAATATTTAAAAACTACTTAAAAATAGTTCTCAGGCAAGAAAATAATTACATTTCTTTTTTTTTAAACTCACAAATGCCCTTTTAGTATCTTATTTTATTTTTATTTTTTTTAAAGATTTATTTATTTACTTGAAAGTCAGAGTTACACAGAGAAAGGAGGAGAGGCAGAGAGAGAGAAAGGTGTTCCATCTGCTTGTTCACTCCTCAGATGGCCGCAGTGGCTAGAGCTGCGCCGATCCGAAGCCAGGAGCTTCCTCCAGGGCTCCCATGCGGGTGTAGGGGCCCAAGGACTTGGGCCATCTTCTACTGCTATCCCAGGCCATAACAGAGAGCTGGATGGGAAGTGGAGCATCCGGGACTCAAACCGGCACCCGTATGGGATGCCTTCGCTGCAGACAGTGGCTTTACCCTCTGCACCACAGCGCTGGCCCCAAAATAATTACATTTCTAAATTTCTCCTTTATCCTTTCTATTTCTTCATTTGTTCTGTCTTTCTTAAGAAAGTGCATTCCTGGGGCAGGAATTGGACATAGCAGTTAAGATGTCAGTTGGGACACCTTGCTACATCTCCTGTTTGAGTGCCCAGGTTCAGATTGCAGATTGCAGCTCTGCTTCCAATTCTGGCTTCCTAGTAATGTGCAGTAATGCAGCAGGTGATGGGTTAAGTAAATTTGGGTCCTTAACACCCATGTGGGAAGATTCAGATTGAGCCCAGTACTGACTATTGTGGACATTTGAAGAGTGAAACACAAGATGGAAGATCTGTCTCTACCTATCTGCCTTGCAAATATATAAAAAGAAAATGTTCTCTCTCAGTGACTGACTGCTTTTGAGGCTCTATTATTTATTTATTTATTTGAGAGACATCCAGAGAAAGATGAAATTCCCATCTGCTGGTTCACTTCCCAAATATTTGCAACAGCAGGGATTGGGCCAGACTAAAGCTGGCAATCAGAAACTCAGTCCAGATCTCCCATCTGGGTGACAGAGACCCAGCTACTTGAGCCATCACCTGCAACCTCCCAAGGTATACATTAGGAGGAAGCTGGAATTGGGAGTAGAGCCAAAACTTGAACTCAGGTACTCTGATATGAAATATTATTATCCCAAGAGACTTTCTGCTAGGCGAATGCCTACCCGCATTGATGTTTTGATAGTGAAATATTAAAAACACTTCTTTTATTGTTTTTTGTTGAGGTATAATTTACATGTACTCTTGTGTTCATCTTAAATGTACAACTCAGTTTGGAACTTGTATTGCTTTTTATTCATTGAGGAGAATGTACCACAAAAGGATCAATACCTTAATTAGACAACTGGGTATTTGTGTATATGCACAATTGCATATAATTACATTTAACATATACATTATTTTACATTTCAAAGGTATTACATTCTAAGTCATGTTAAATGTTTCATCCTATTGTTCTTTCTATAGGTATCATAAAAATTTGACTGCTGCAAAGAAAAATGAATTGATACAAAAGGTAAAAATGATAAATTTCTGAATTAATTTACCTTTTTTTTAAAGATTTATTTATTTGAAAGAGTTACAGAAGGAGACACACATACACATACACATACACAGAGAGAGAGAGAGAGAGAGAGAGAGAGAATGAATATCTTCATCCACTGAGTCACTCCCCAAATGGCTACAATTGCCAGGGCTGGGCCAGGCTGAAGCCAGGAACTTCATCCGGATCTCCAACTTGGGTTCAGTGGCCCAAGCATTTGGGTCATCCTCTGCTGCTTTTCCAGGCTTGTTAGCAGGGAACTGGATTGGAAGTGGAGCAGCTGGGACTTGAGCTAACACCCATATGGGATGCTGGCACTGCATATAGTGGCTTTACCCACCATGCCACAGTTATTTAAAAATTAAATATTTATATATATGACATGTTGAGAATAAGAAGGAAAGGGAGAATAGTTGGTAATGACAGTTTTGTTTCTTTCCCACCAGGCAAAATCAAAGCTAAGTTTCAGCAGCAAGACCTATAAGGAGTTTAACTGCTGTTTGACAACCATGGTTGGTTGTCTGTGGACATCCAAGCCCTTCAAGAAAGGAATACGTTTCAGCCCTGAAACCCTTGAAAAACTTGGAGTAGAAGAGCATAAAAGGAGTTTGAATTTAGTCTACCACTCTTCTCTGTTGGGTTATGCTGTTTCCTTCTTGCTACAGGTAAGGGTATTTAAAAGATTTTTAGATTTTATATAATAATACTGTAACAGCTAAAATAGAAAGGCCATAGATTTATGTTGGATTTGCAAGACACATGTTCAGTTACTTTTTAAAATTTATTTATTTGAAAGAGTTAAAGTGCGAGAAGGGGGTGGAGGGACAGAGAGGAGGTATCCATCTTCTATCCACTGGTTCACTCCCTACATGGCCGCAATGATTGAGACTGAGTGAGATAAAAACCAAGAGCCTGGAACTCCATCCAGGTCTCCCATGAGGGTGACTGGGGTCCAAGTACTTGAGCCATCTACCACTGCTTTCCCAGGTTCATTAGTAGGCAGCTGAATTGGAAGCGGAACAGCCAGGATCCAAAACAGTGTTCATATGCCCACATTGCAGTCAGTGGTTTAGCCTGCTATGCCACAATGCCAACCCACTATTATTTTTTTTGGAAAGATTTATTTATTTATTTGAAAGTCAGTGTTAACACAGAGAGAGAGGTCTTCCATCTGCTGGTTCATTCTCCAATTGTCCACAATGTCTGGACCTGTACTGATCCGAAGCCAGGAGCCAGGAGCTTCTTCTGGGTCTCTTATGCAGGTGCAGGGGCCAAAGGACTTGGGCCATCTTCTGCTTTCCCAGGCCATAGCAGAGAGCTGGATTGGAAGTGGAGCAGCCAGGACTTGAACTGGTGCCCGTATGGAATGCTGGCACTGCAGGCGGCAGCTTTACCCGCTACACCACAGCGCCGGGTCCCCCCCATTATTTTTTTTTAAGTGCTAACTAAAATTGGTGTTTCTGCTTGGCTCTGGAGATTCAGTTAAGTAAGTGTCTTCTAAGAAAACTTGGGCTTGTAGCAGATATTGAATTGTAAATAAATTACTAAAATAAAGTGAGGTGAAGTGAGAAAATGTGCAGTTGTTGGAAAAATGAAAGGGAGATTAGTTCACCTCTGCTTGGGAGGGAGGAGGCCATGTAAGGAAAGGCTTCAAAAAAATAGAATCTCTCATAAAATTCTTGACAAGATGGAAAATGTAGCCTCAATAATACTAAAATCAGAATCAAGCCAAAGATTGCTAATTGAATGAATGAATATCTATGCTGGTGGTCAGCAGTGGTAAAAGGGGAATCTTTTTTTTTTTTAAGATTTGTATTTATTTATTTGAAAGGTAGAGTTACAGAGAGGAGGGTGGAGAGAGAGAGAGGGAGGGAGGGAGGGAAGGAGGGAAGAAGGGAGGGAGCATGTGAGCAATTGCACACTTCTGTCAACTGATTCACTCCCAAATGGCTACAACTGCCAGGGCCAGGCCAGGCCCAAAACTCCATACAGGTCTCCCACATGGGTGCAGGGACCCAAGTACTTGGGCCATCCTCCGCTGCTTTCTCAGGTGCATTAGCAGGGAGCTGGATTGGAAGTAGTATAACTGGGGCACAACCTGGTACTCATGGGATGCTGGTATCACAGGCAGCAGATTAACTCGCTGCATCGCAACATCAGTCCACAGGGGATTATTTTTTTTTTAAGATGTGTTCATTTATTTATTTGAAAGAGCACACGTGAGAGATATCTTCTGTCTGCTGATTGATTCTCCAAATGCCTACAACAGCTGGGGCCAGGCTGATCTGAAGCCAGAAGCCTATAACTCCAACCGGGTCTCCCACATGGGTAGCAGAGGACCAAGTACTTGGGCCATCTTTTGCTGCTTTCCCAGGTGCATTTTCAGGGAGCTGGTTTGGAAATGGAACAGCCAGAAGTGGAACCAGCACTTCCATATGGGATGCGAATGTTGTAAAAAGCAGCTTAATCTACTGGGCCACAACACCTGCCCTGGGATAGGAGTGCCTGAGGGATATCTTTCTTTTTTTTTTATTTATTTATTTATTTCTTTTTGACAGGCAGAGTGGACAGTGAGAGAGAGACAGAGAGAGAAAGGTCTTCCTTTGCCGTTGGTTCACCCTCCAATGGCCGCCGCTGCAGCCGGCGCACCGCGCTGATCCGATGGCAGGAGCCAGGAGCCAGGTGCTTTTCCTGGTCTCCCATGGGGTGCAGGGCCCAAGCACCTGGGCCATCCTCCACTGCACTCCCTGGCCATAGCAGAGAGCTGGCCTGGAAGAGGGGCAACCGGGACTAGAACCCGGTGTGCCGGCGCCGCAAGGTGGAGGATTAGCCTATTAAGCCACGGCGCCGGCCCTTTTTTTTTAAGATATTTATTTATTTATTTATTTATTTGAAAGGCAGAGTTACAGAGAGGCAGAAGCAGAGACAGCGAGGTCTTCCATCCACTGGTTCACTCCTTAGATGGCCTCAACTGCTAGAGCTGCACCGATCTGGAGCTGCACTGATCCAAAGCCAGGTGCCAGGAGCTTCTTCTGGGTCTCCCACACAGGTGCAGGGGCCCAGGGACTTGGGCCATCTTCTACTGCTTTCCCAGGGCATAGCAGAGAGCTGGATCAGAAGTAGAGCAGCTGGGATTCAAACCAGTGCCCATGTGGGATGCCAGCACTACAGGCAGTGACTTTACCTGCTATGGCACAACACCAGCGCCACTGAGGGGTATCCTTTTTTTTTTTTAAAGATTTATTTATTTATTTGAAAGTCAGAGTTACACAGAGAGAGAAGGAAAGGCAGAGAGAGAGAGAGAGAAGTCTTCCATCTGATGGTTCAATCCCCAATTGGCCACAACAGCCAGAGCTGTACAGATCCGAAGCCAGGCGCTTCTTCCAGGTCTCCCATGTGGGTACAGGGCCCAAGGACCTGGGACATCTACTGCCTTCCCAGGTCATAGCAGAGAGCTGGACAGGAAGAGGAGCAGCCAGGACCAGAACTGGTACCCATATGGGATGCTGGCGCTTCAGGCCAGGGCGGTAACCCGCTGTGCCACAGCGCTGGCCCCTGAGCAGTATCCTTTTAAGACTTTATCCTCAGCCCTGTCGTTTTCAGCATTATCAGTGTCTTGAAGAAAACCTCAAAGAGTGTGTGTGTTAAATGCTTGAATGGCACAACAGGGTGTGATTACAAATACCCTGAAAAAAACAAATACCTAGAATATTGAGAAATGTAACAATTCTGGGCCGGCGCCGCGGCTCACTAGGCTAATCCTCTGCCTAGCGGTGCCGGCACACCGGGTTCTAGTCCCGGTTGGGGCACCGGATTCTGTCCCGGTTGCCCCTCTTCCAGGCCAGCTCTCTGCTATGGCCAGGGAGTGCAGTGGAGGATGGCCCAGGTGCTTGGGCCCTGCACCCCATGGGAGACCAGGAAAAGCACCTGGCTCCTGGCTCCTGCCATCGGATCAGCGCGGTGCGCCGGCCGCAGCGCGCCGGCCGCGGCGGCCATTGGAGGGTGAACCAACGGCAATGGAAGACCTTTCTCTCTCTCTCTCTCTCTCACTGTCCACTCTGCCTGTCAAAAAATTAAAAAAAAAAGAAATGTAACAATTCTAAAGAAATCTAAAAATGAAGAAAAATATGTAGAGTGGAAAAATAATCATTGGATCAATGTTTAATAAATGCATATAGGGGCCGATGTTGTGGCATAGTAGGTTAAGCCTCTGCCTGCAGCAGCAGCATCCCATATGGACACTGGTTCAAGTCCCTGCTGCTCCACTTCAGATCCAGCTCCCTGGTGGTGGTCTGGGAAGGCAGTGGAAGATGGCCCAAGTGCTCAGGCCCCTCCTCCCATGTGGGAGGCCCAGAGGAAGCCCCTGGCTTTGGGTCGGCCCAGCTCTGACCGTTGTGGGCATTTGGGGAGTAAACCAGCGATGGAAGACTCTCTCTCTCTCTCTTCCTCTTCCTCTTCCCTGTAACTCTGCCTTTTAAGTAAAAGTCAAAAATAAAATAAATTAAAAAAAAAATGTACTACACAAAGACTAAGCAAAGGTACCATGAAAATTAAAAAAAAAAACATGCATGTCATCTACTAGGCACTGTAGTGAACAAGACATATGTGAATATTACCTTCGTAGAGCTTACAGTCTAGTCAGAGAGGCAGCCATTAAACAGTTTTCTTAGAATAAAGCATGAGTAATGTAATTGGGAAAGTATAGCGGAAAATGAAAAAATATAAAGGGCTGCTAAGTTCAAACTTTGTAGCAGTGATGCTAATCAGAGTTTTGAAGGATGCAGGTGAACTTGCCAAGACAGAAGCAGAATTCACAGAAAAGCACAAAGATGCAGAGCCGATTGTCAGAACGAGGGCAGCAGATTTTTCTGTGGAGGGCTAGGCTGTAAATATTTTAGGTTTTACAGAACCTGTAATCTTTACCAAGACAACTTAACCTTGCTGTTGTAGTATGAGTATAGGTGGTGTGTAAACAAAGCGGCATAGTTGCATTTTAATAAAAGTTTATTTGCAAAAACAGGCACAGGACTGGCTTTGGGCCATGATTAGCTGACGCTTATGTTAGATTAGAGCCTGCTTGGTTTGGGCCACTTGACATATGAGGGGACTTCAAAAAGTTCATGGAAAATGCATGATATGAGAAGAGCTTTGTATGGATTTTAGAAGTTTTTGCACCACAATAAGTTTATCTTTTTAAGTCTATCGTCCTTGAACTTTCTGAAGTATCCTTATGTAATAGTTCTGATATACTACAGGGTCGAGAGATACTAGACAGGACGGTGCTGTGGCTCAGTAGGTTAATTCTTCCCCTGCGGCACTGGCATTCCATATGAGCACCGGTTCTAGTCCTCTTTGATCCAGCTCTCTGCTGTGGCCTGGGAAAGCAGTAGAAGATGGTCCAGGGGCCTGCATTGTGGCGCAGCGGATTAACGCCCTGGCCTGAAGTGCTGGCATCCCATATGGGCGCTGGTTCGAAACCTGGCTGCTCCACTTCCAATCCAGCTCTCTACTATGGCCTGGGGAAGCAGTAGAAGATGGCCCAAGTCCTTGGGCCCCTGCTCCCACATGGGAGACCCGGAAGAAGCTCCTGGCTCCTGGCTTCGGATTGGTGCAGCTCTGGCCATTGTGGCCAATTGGGGAATGAACCAGTGGATGGAAGACACCT